ATTCAGCCGTCAACTCCGCTGCCGGGTAAGAAGTTTTAGTGTTGGTGCTGCTGCTTCTTAGATTAGCTTTTCGCGGCGCTTGCTTGTTTAGCCACAGTGTCTGAAATTGGAGAGGAGACGGCGGCTCGTCTGATGCGCGCTCCAGACGAGCAGCCCACAGCCTTCTACGTGGCAGCGGTCTAAGCTCTGCCTGCTTTCTGTGCTTTCCTCTTGCTCCTCCCTCCGAAGTCAGTTCTGCTCTGTTTTCGCTAGGTGGCTTCGGGGTGTACAGTCGTGTGCGTCTGCGTGCAAGGAGGCTCAGATTCCACCAGCTCGCCTGCAGTTAACGCAGCAGCAGCAGAGCAGCAGTCCCTGCATGCAGCAGCGTCGGAGCTAACGGCATCTGAAAGGCTGTGGTTCTCACGCGCAGCAATGCAGCGCAGTGTCATGAACTACTTAGCGGCGGCAGATGCCCACTTGCTGACAGAGCGTCCCCTACAACAGCAGCAGCTGCTACTGCAGCTGCCACGCTCGCGGGAAGGATCCGGAGCAACAGAAGCTGCAGCCAGAAGCGCCAGCAGCGGCAGCAAACAAAGCAGCAAAAGTGCAACAGAAGGTGTATCCTGCTTACGCCTGAAGCACGTTGACATTGCCGAATACCCCACGAGCCGCAGCTGTGCAGCGGCAGCAGCGCCTTTCGAGCAGCCTAAATCTACGAATCCTTTCGAGCCGGAGAGCACCACGTGCAGCAGTACGAGCAGCACGCCTGCACCAGCGACGGCAGCAGCGGCTGCTGCTGCTGCTGCTGCGTCTGCAGCAGCCACAGCAGCGGCCGCTGCAGCACCAGCCGTAGCCTTGCTGGAGGACGTGCGGAGACGCATCGACTTGCGCAATTTTTTGACGTTTCAGGAGGTGTGTGCAGCAGGGGTAGAAGCCACAGAGATGGCAGGAGGAGAAGCGGCATCCCCTGTAGGAGACACCATCAGAGCCGATGCAGCAGCAGCTGCCGATGCAGCAGCAGCGGCTGCGTGCCTCAAGGATGAGTTACCCTTGAGCTGCTCCTTCCGACTTACCAGTTTGCAGTTAATGACTGCCAGTCGGCTGCTGCATCTGCTGCCAGTGCCCATGGTTTCCTCAGAAACACAGGTGTTACTCCTGCTCCTTGAAGAGGTGGGTGTTGCGCCTCCTGCTGCTGCTGCTAGAAGTTTGTTCTGTGCGTGTGAGGGCCTCTCTAGGTTCTTGCGGATGCCAATCGCATCGGTTGCGCCTTTGTTGCTGCTGGAAATATCCCTGAAACTTTTGTGAATGAGGGGAAGAAAAGGGATGCGCGTGATACGATATATGCAGATCTCTAGGGTGCTGCTAGATCCGCGTCGCCTCTTTGGTGACTCCCTGAGCCTCGCCCTCGGCAGCTCAGCGCTGTTGCTTTTGACACAGTTCTTTCGCGTGGCTTGCATCAAGGCTCTGCATGCTGACTTTCAGCAGCAGCAGCAAGGAAAACACCCAGTGCAGCAGCAGGAGCAGCAGCAACACGACAAGGAGAGCAGGCGCAGCAGCTCTTGCGGCAAGGCACTGGACGCGGTTCTGCAATGTGTGCCCCTGCTGCTGCGGCATTTCGTTGCTGCAGCAGCCACGCGCTGCGACTCGCAATTGCGCAAAGCGCATTTCTGGGCGCTGGCAGCTCAAGCTGCATGCGTGCTCATAGAGGATGCAGCGGCAATAACAGCCGCGGCAGGTGGAGCAGCCTTCGTGTCGCGAGGTACTCTGCTTCTCTTGTGGCGCGCTGTCGGCTCGGCGTTGCTGCGGCTTGCAAGGGACGACCACGATCTTCATCTGCAGCAAGAAAAGCTGCAGCTGCAGCTGCTAGATCAGCTGCAGCAGCTCTACAAGCGTCTGGAGCAGCTGCAGCAGCTGGTGCACAAGCACCAGCAGCTTAACCCCATTCAGAGTGAGCAGAAGAGGCAGTGGCGCGGTGAATCCTAGAGGCTGAGGCTTGTCTGAATGGATTGTTGCGGGCTTAGATTGCCGAGTCTGTACACTGCTCTGTGTGACATGCTGCAGCTCATTTGCCGCAGCCCTTTAGTGCGCCGTCATTTTTGCCCCCTGCCGCAGCCAACGAGCTGTATCTACAGCAGCAGCACGTGCAGCAGCAGCACGTGTTTCAGCAGCAGCCTCCGCCTCCGCCGTATGTCTGCAGCCCAAGCCATCAGCACACGCTGCAGCAGCTGTTGCAGGAGCAGCAGCATGTGCAGCACCAGCTGCAGCACGTGCAGCAAGAGCTGCAGCAGCACCACCATCAGCAGCTGTACGATGGCTTGGAGTCTGTTTTGCTGCGGCGATGGGTGCTGCGTCTTGCTGCATCTGTGCTGCAGCATCAGCAGCAGCACTCGTGGGCTGTTGACACCTTGTCAGATCTCGTAGGTTGCGACCTGCCCTTCCCTCCCTGCATGTCTCGGTGTGCAATGCGGTGCGCTGCGTCTATGGAGTGTGGGGAGGAGCCGCGGCGTATTCGTGGTGGTTTGCTCGTGTGCTGCTGTGGATGCACTAGGCTTCGGTGCTGCAGCTTGCCTGTTTTAACTTGAGGGCTCCTTCCTTGCTCGCGCAAGAGGCGTTTTCGCTGTAAGGATTCCTGCACACGAGACTCTGGCCTCTGTGTGTATGTATGTGTGTCTGTGTGTGTGTGCGTATGTCTACGTGTGCATGTGCGCGAAACGCACTCGGTGGATGGTTGCAGCTGCGTAAAAAGCAACACACAGACTAGCAACCGCGGCGCATGCCGGCTTGTTGTGGACAGTTGAGGCTGCTATTGGTGCTTTTGGTTTTTGCTGCTTCCCAGGTTCTTCCGCGTTTGCGAGCAGCGCAGTCTTGAAGGGGCACTTGTTGACAGAAAGGCCGCTGCAGCAGCGGCTGCTGCTGCGCGACAGGAGTTTCTGCTGCCGCTGCTGCTGCAGCAGTGCAACAGAGTTGTCACTGCCTATGCGGATGCAGCGCAAGACGGCTCCGAGGTTTGCTGACAAACGCACTAGCAGCAGCAGCAGCAGCAGCATCAATGCGCCCACAGCTGCGCTGCCACACCCCCGACTCTCGCTGCGAAAATTCCTCCGCCGTGGTGTCTGCAGCTGCCCATCTGCCTGCCTGCCTGTGTGTGTGTGTGTGTGTGTCTGTGTCTGTCTGTCTGTCTGTCTCTCTCTCTGCCTGCTGCTGTGTCTTTCGAATCTTAGAACGCTGCAGTCGATCCTCGCTTGCTAACTTACGTTTTTTCCGGCGTGCGTGCCCTCCAATGCGCTACCCCTGCCAGCCCCTGTGCCAAGAGTGCACGGGTGGAAACACTGATGCAGCTTGCAGGTATGCTGTTGTTTCTGTTGTTACTGTGTGTTGCTGCTGTTACTGTTGTTGCTGTTGTTGTTACTGTTGCTGTTGCTGCTGTTACTGTTGCTGTTGCTGTTGTTACTGTTGCTATTGTTGCTGTTGTTACTGTTTGTTGCTGTTGCTAGTGTTGTTGCTGTTGCTGTTGTTACTGTTGCTGTTGTTATTGTTTGTTGCTGTTGTTACTGTTGTTGCTGTTGTTACTGTTGTTGCTGTTACTGTTTCTATTGTTGCTGTCGTTACTGTTGTTGCTTTCTGTCGCTATCCCTACCGTTGGTCCGCACCCACCTTGCCTGCTCGCCTTGTCGCTGCTGCTGCGCATCTCCGCTTGGGGGTTGCATGCGAAGCTAGAAAAAGAAGACGAGCTGCCACAGCTCCTCTTGCAGTCTCCTCACCCCCAGGCCCTTGACAACTCCCAGGCCCAACTTTACCACGCAGCATGCATACGTCTGCACGTGTTGCTCTGTCCATCTCTAGTATGCGGCTCTCGCTTGGTGAATTTTTGGCGAAGGATAGCTGCTCTCTTATTGTGCACTCAGGCGGCAAGGCTCACTTGCTTCTGCTTTTGCCAAAGCTCGTTTCGTGCGTCACCTGTGACGACCCGTAAGTGCTTGCTTACCGGCTGGCTGGTCGTGCTTAGGGCTGTGCTCTGCTTGCTTCCCATGCTCTTCTAGACGTGTGCTCTAAGCATGCATGCATGCATGCATGCCCCCCTTTACCCTGCTGCGCTTGGCGCTGTTGTCGCTGCAGCTGCCTGCGGCGGGAAGTGCAACTCTGCCTGCAGACTACAGTTGAGGCTCTAGGTCTATCTCAGGAGCAGCGGGAGGAGGAAACGGCGAGTGCGTAAGTCCCCAACATCCCTGAAAAAATATCTGAGCGGTGAACACAAAGCTGCTATGCGAGCCGAGTTGCAGTCAGCACGGCCTGCAGCGACTACATGCAGATTTCTGCTCCGCGGCTGCTAACGCTGCCACAAGAGAGTTGAGTAGAAGCATTAGACTCGTGGTGGAACTGCTCTTTTGACTACTGGGCAACAGCACGACAGCCTCGCGGTTCCACCAAGTATCTGTGCCTTCCGGGCAGAGTGGCAGCAGCATGCACACTGCGGAAGCTTGCTAGAGCTATAAATGCCAGCTGAGGGTTCGCAGCGAGTCTACCCATTCAGCCCTCTAGGGAGGCGACGCGACACACCGCGCAAACATGAGCTAGCAAGACCCTTCAGACAGACAGGGGACACAGACACTAGAAACGGACACCCAAGAAGCTCTACGCAGCCCCCTACACAATACACACTTTGACACTGTTAGCAACACATCCGGATGCGTGTAAGCGCTGAAAACGCCTCATTTGAGAAAGCGCCTTAATGGTGACACTGCAAAGGCTCCCCTAGTCTCGCCCCTGACTCGCGCGAAAGACACTCGAATTGGGTAGTCGTTCTCTTCCCGCGCACGGGCTGTTAGCAGAGGCAGCAGCCTACACTCTATCTCTCTGCTGTGCGTGCTCCCGTCCAACACAACGAAGCGACGGCATGTGGGCGAAAACGCGGAGTCTGAGTGCTGCGCTACCCCTGCGTGCCGCGCTCTGGGCAGCCACGTGGGCTTCAATTGTGAACCGTGCAAGCGTGTGTGCTTGAAAATCTCGCAAAAAACCCTCCCCTACGACTCCAAGAGGGTCAAGCACTGCTGCAACCCCTCGACAGACAGATACTTTTCAATAGTCTTATGCGCAACAGACGCACGCGTCGCCAGAGGTTTTGCCGTTTCGGCTTCTCTAGGTACCACACGGACTACTTTGTTCGCCCCCTGTCCTGCATCTTCAATCGCCCATCCTCGCGCCTTGATGAGCTTCTCCACCTTCTCATCAACGGATCCGGAGGCACTCACGGGCTGCCCAAGATTCATCATCTGGCAGAAATCGGTAAGGGAAATAGTCGTAAACGTCTGCTGCAACACTTCGCACGCGTACCGACGCACGGCGTCCACAACACCTGGCGTGTGCAACACGTCAGCCATGTCGGGCTCCCGCAGCAACCCCCAAGCCTGTACGATGCACAAGATAGACAGACGGAAATAACATGTATGCATACGTGTTCTGTTAAACTCTGCGGAATACTCTCCAAATCTGCTGGAGGGATGCATACGCGCACAGAGAGCACATGGTCGCGAAAGACGCAACGCTGAAATGTGGACTCTTGCACAGACATACACGAGACAGGTCTTATAGCGTAGGGGATATTTGGCATATTTGCCCCCAACGTGCAAAAACGGCCGCCAGACTCTCGCGCAATTCATACCAACATAGACAAAGAGACCGACCCCCTACCAAGCCAAGTTCAACATCCCAAAGAGCCATGCAAGTTGACGAGTAGACAGGCAAGCTACAGGCACGCGCTCGCGCGAGTTTGTCTGTCTACGCATCCCATGCATGCACAGCGCTGCAGCCCCCTATCCTTAGAGGGAGAGGGGTCAGGAGAAAGGGGTTGGGATAAGTGCAACTCCACAGTGATCGCTTGCTTACAGCCTTGAAATCGCAGCCTTCGAGGTGGTCCTGGAGCGTGAGCATATCCTGCACCCGTTTCTCGTCTTCGGCTGATGCGAAGTGTGAAGGGGCTATGCACGCATAGTAGCCAAACTGGTTTTCTGGAAGGGCAACAATGGTTTGGACAAGGATCTTACGGATGACTTCCGCATTTGCGCACTGTGGATACAGCAGGTAAAGCCTCAGAATCGCAGAGCAAAGGTCTGGGGAGGCTCCTCCATTGGCAATGCCCTTTTCGAGGTGGTTCACCAGCAAGTCCAAAGTGCTGGGGAGGAAGATCATCTGATGAATGTTCAGCAGATCTTCTACGGGAAATTGATCCACACTGACTGCCGGCTCCGCCATCTTCAGGAAAGTTCGTGTACGACGTGCTACTGGCCTTCGCCGGGCAGTAGGACGCGCGAAACAAGGCTCGACGGTAGTGTACAAGTAGAGGTCAAGCGGAAGAAATGATGAGCAGCAGACTGAAAGTGCCTGGTCCAGCTTGCTAGTTTAGGCACAGAGGCAGAAAGGCCACATACAATGACTGAAACACGCACTCAGCGCTTCCCCACAAGACCGCCACTGAACGTAAAGCAGGTGTGCGTCCACAGGGATGCAATAAGATCCTGTCTGAGAGCTTGTCAGGAAGAGACGCAAACAAGAGTGCTAATTGGCGTCCTGAAAAGGCACCATCCCAGCCCCAAAGTCTACTCCAGGGATCACGCTTTGCATGCACTGCAATCGCCACCTAAGCCGCAGGCCACTGCAGGCTGGCGCCAGTCCCAAATCATCGACGGCCACCGTTTCTGATGTTTAAACCTTTGCATCCACTGATTGCGTAGAGGATCACTCCTTTTAAAGGAAAATCTAGGCATGGCTACTCCAGCGCAAGCAGAATAAACCGCCAGATTTCACGGGGAATGCTTGCTCGTTGCTCATCCATCGTTGCCGAACCGACGCAGCTCCCGTGTATTCGGCGCCCTCCATGGCTTCTTGAGTTGGTTGTGAAGTGCGAAACGGCCTCAGTTGAAGGGATCAATGCTCGAATATCTTCTCTCGTAAACCCTAATGGGAAGCGGTCTCACCAGCAGGCTGCTGCTCGGCCGCACAGCGCCAAATGCTCTCCGAGGGACGTCTCTGAACGGCGTTGTTTTTCGTTTAGCTCGACACGCCAGCAGTTGACACCTCTCTCTGAAGGATCTGGAGGTGCTTCAGGTCATGAGGAGGCGTCCGTCGATTCTGCTAGGGGGGCTCTACCCTCACCTCAACGCAGTGCACAGGATGAGGATGCCCTTACAGGCGGCCAAGAGTCGAAGGCAGCCTCCCCTATAGCTACCGACACAGCGAAATTTGCTGCTCCATGGATTTTTGAAGCCAAACCCGGCGGTTGGCTTCATATGAGGGAACACAAGCGGATCTTTGCGCTCACCTCCCCAGCCACTGCAGCTCCCACTGCCAAAGGCGACGCGCACTCAGAAGCGGCAGCGGCAGAAAATTCCAATTTGTCTTCTTTCTCTGAATGTTCATCCAGTGTGGAGGGCATTCCGATGATTCAGTTCAGGTCTGCAGCGATCCGAGGCGGGCAGCAGCGTTGCGGCGTGGGTACCTTGATACAAAAACAGTGCATACAGGCCATTGCTGCGTTTGGATCTACAGTTGAGCGTTCTTGGGTGTACAGGCATTTGACATATCCTGAAGCGGATCGGGGGGGCACGCAGTTGGGGAGAATCTTTAAAAGGGCAGAAATGCGGAGCTATTTGCGCTTTCTTGCTGCACGTCTCCCTTGTTTGGAGCTGCAGACGCTGCTGGAAGCGTTTCTTTCCACCGGCCTTTCAGATATGGACGAGCAGCAAATGAAAGAACTTCTGACGCTGCTGCATCTGGGAGAGCGACAGGCCGCTGGAGATGTAGTAGTAGTGACAAGCAGTAGTGCGAAGAACCGCAAAGTCGAGGTTGGAGGGGCAGCCAGTCATTGCACTTGCGATTTGCGGCACTGCTGTATGCCTGAGCAAAGAAGCAGTCGCAATTCCAAGGGTGACAGTGATAGCAACAATAAGAGCAGCACTGGCGATGATTCCAGGGATTGCTGCTGCGATGGCCTGACGGCTGATTTCCTGCTGCGGCTGCTGAAGGGCGGAAGCATCCCCCCTGCTTGTGTGCCCCCTTGCCTTAGGTCGAACAGTGCCTTTCGCCGCTTGCTGAGTTTTATCGATAAAAACCATCCGCTACTGCGGTTTGTGCCGCCCCCAGGCGGCTGGCTACGTAGTCAGTAAAAGGGACGGGCTCTTGCGGTGCCTTTCCGCTGAAGTGCATTGCCATGCTCTTTCAGAGCATACTGGAAGAGTAGAGCAGCAGAGAGGGATAGGGAGGTAGGTTGCAGCGTCGGAGTGGTATCCCGTGCAAGGAACCGTGATGCAGGGTGGGGTAGGCGGAGCCGTGAAGGGGCCTGTCACTGAAAGTGGAGTTAGAAGGGGCAACCGACTGGGGGGCTGCAGCACATAGTGTTTATTTATAGCAAGGCTGAAACGAAGCCAGACATATAATACCCCACGCAGATTCCCTCTGCCTCCGACGGTGCTGGGACGGACTGCCTTCCCTCCACAGGGTTGTGGCAGGCAGCCTTGTTAGGCTTCCTGATGATATTGTGTTTCTGACTCCGCAATGCAAGTCCAGGTGAAGATTAGTAGAAGGGAGGCTGGAGCTGGGAGTGGATGCGATGCGAAAAGTGACCTCTAAGGGGTGTCTTCGCAGCTCGGTGTTTGAGTCACTACAGAGGTTCAGTCACCCCTGTGGTCCTCTAAAGTTCTACTCTGCTTGTCTTCTGACAACCAGTAGACAACTTATGGAGAGGCTGCCAAGAGAGCCCGCCAGCCAGCCGTCCGCTTCCATCTCCTCAGAAGGCTGAACATCCCTCGCTCGAAATCGCTGGCAAAGCTGCGCCCGTTGGCTCAACCGGGATGCATACAATGTGTCAGCTCGCTACAGCTGCTCTTCGAGCTGTAGAGGCGCTAGCAAGATGGCCCTTCTGGCAACTAGATCTTGCGAGGCACTCTGGTATCCTACTGCTCTGCTCTGGCGTGTGCCCCTACGTAAGGCGTATCACTGGGGTAGCTGCTACACACTCAGTGGCGCAACGCCCTTCCAAACACCGGCGTCGCTGTACAGGCAACCAGTTAAGGGCCCTCAGCGGCCTTGAAAAGGCTTGAAACTGATTTTTATGGAAAGTAGATAGCATGGGAACTTCAAATGTACACATCGTCATTCCCACACAACCCCGTATGACCGAGACCATACCCTGAGAATCGATTAAAGCAAGCCGTGGCAACAACAGCTGAACGGCGGCTTTTTGTTGACTCCTGCACTGCGTTGCACACATAAAAATGTATGAAGTGGGGTACTCGGAAGCATCTGCAGTGCACACAAGGCTGCAGGATTCCCGGATAAAATGCTTCATTGACCACTCTCCCTCACGAGCGCCAGCCAGCAGCAACCCCTTTCTCCTTCCCTCCTCCAAGAATGGATCTTCTTCACAGGTGCTGCCCGTGCTGAGCGCTTGCCCCGAGAAGCCGGCGAACTTGTTTTGGCAGGACGTGGTTTGTCATCGCGGTGCCTCAGCCACGAGAAAACTCCAGATGCATGCGAAATTCCTGGGGAAGGGGCATCCTTGTCATGCGTCAACCCTGCACTACGCCCACCTGCGTCGGCTGTACGGCCAGTGCCAGCCCATCCATCAGACACCTCTTAGCCAGCCTCGACACATGCAGCCTGTGGGCAGGGGAAGGAAGAGCGGACAGCGGTGTAAGGCACACAAGCCGAACGCATGCAGCAGGCCCCTCCGCTACGCCAGGTAGCTGCGGCAGCAGCATCTTCCTCTGGTGCGAGGCACCCCATGCGTTTCTCCATTCCTTCACTGCTCAGCCTCTGGCAGAGCTGCTACTTCGTCTGCAATGGGCTGCCTCCTCGAATCCGCACGCAAAGCCTCCCTCACGTGAGGCTGCGGGGTAGTCTGTAACGGTAGGGCCCTCTGGAGCACACATCCATCAGGGCTGTGGTGTCTGCTGACAAGACCGCATGTTGGAGCAGCATACGGGGAAAGCTGCAGCACACCCAAATCGTGCTGCAGCTGCTCCTTAAAGATTGCAGACTCCGACGCCTGTTGTAACTCCCCAGGAATTCTGTCCAAGTAGTGGCCGGTTAAGTCATCTCCAGCCTTCATCAGATACACGCCCTCGCGGAGCCACACGACCCTGTCAAACAACCACTGCAGAAACACACAAAGAAAAGCAGCGGCGCATCCGGCAAAAACAGTGGAAGCGGCCAAGACACCAAAACGAAGGGGAGGGGGGGGGGGGAAAGCGCAGTCGCAGCACGTATTTTGGCCTTTCTTTTTCACATGCTATCACCAGCGCTAAAGCAGCAAAAAGCCTTCCCTCCTTCTCTGGGTTGCTCTCCTCCGAAGATAAGCTATAGTAGTGGCTATGAATATTTACTTCTTTAGAGTTCGTATACATTCACATATACATGCATGTACATGTATACATCAGGCGTGGCAGGCAGCATTAGACTATCTGCATAGGGCTTCACAGAGCGCAACGTAGCATGCCTGATCCATCGTCCCCTGTCACCTCCCCGCCTTCGCGCGTATTGCGCTCCCTTCCTTGGTAATAGGCTTCTGTCATGCAGTAGAATTCCCATCATCATATTTCCTTACAGAAGGTATTTTGCCTTCAAGCCCCTCCGTCAAGACGACCCCATTTGCAGATCTGAAGAATACGACGCCCGCTTGCATCGCCCGCTTCACGTCAATGTACACTGCAACCTCCGAATTTCGCCGCATGCCACTAAGAACCGAGGCATCTCCGGGAAATCCCGTGGCAAAGTCTGTAGCACAGAGAGAGAGAGAGAGAAAGAAAGACCACTACGTGAGTGCAGGCCAGTCAAGACGCATACCCCGAGACTCCACGAACATGCATATGCTTGCATACATCCCTCCATCCACGCAAGCAAGCAAACCACAAGCTAGCGCACTGCAAGATCCCTGTGTGGAGCCTGCATACACCGCTGCACAGAGATGGGAGGTCAAGCGGCGGCATCATGCATGCACGCATGCAGGCCGACCCTGTGCATCGGAAGAATGAGCTTCAAAAGAAACGAAAGACAACGGGGAGCCAAAAGAAGCACAAGAACAGACACCCGAGTGCAGATTTTTCACACATGCACGGAGGCTTACGAATGTGGTTCCGGTGCATCCTGTGGAGGCCTAAGCGGCGTATTGCCATCCAATTTCTCAGATATGTGCCATGCACACATACCGGCAACTCCTCGCCACGTTCTACACGCTGCATGAACAAATCGCTGCGGCAGCAACGGAGGGAGACGCAAGCGCAACAGCCGCAGCCAGACGTTGGGGGGGGTGTTTTGCGTTCGTCCAACAGGGGGGCAGGCGTTTTCGCCAGTACGCCTGCACATGCGTAGACTGCTAGCCTCGCATAGCACCGACGCTTGTCTCTCTGCCCCCCCCCCCATGCTGCTCCAAGTCAGCAGTGGCTGCATTGGCTGCAGTAGCGAGCAGACATCCATCCTTCCGCAGCAGCCCGCCTACCTGCGAATGAAAGGGATGGTGTGACCTTGCGTTGCTCTAAGCAGCCACTTGCCACTCAGGATCTCGACTTTCCTCGCTGCGGCGGAAGCGCTGCGATCTGCGCATGCAAGCGAGTCGCATATCTTTGTGCTGCAGTTGCTGCTGCTGCTACAGCGAGACAGCGCGCCTGAATCGCCATGCGCTGCAGCTGACGAGCTGCTAACGCTGCCGTCTTCCTCCTTGCTCCTGCTGCAGCACTGGCTCGCCTTTTCAGCTGTACGTACACCCATCTGATGCCAGCACGCCACGCCTCCTGCCTCTCCGTACGTCAGCCCTATCTGCTGCTGTTGGTGCGTCCTGCTGAGAGCTGGGCACGTCTCCGTCTCCTCTTCGTCGTACAAAAGCTCATACCGCTGCTTGAAATTCGCAGACACAGCCTGAACCCGCACGCACACCGCAGCCACACTTGCAGCGTCCTCTGAAAGCCATCCACCATGCACAGAACTAGCTGCCTCCTTTACTCCCTGCACTGCAGCAGCAGCAAGGAGGCACTGCAGCAGCAGCATCAGGGTGCCTGAAGGGCAGGGGGGAAAAGGCGTCATCAGCATCTGCAAAAACACACGGCTAGCAGCAACCACAAGGAGGGGCAAAGGAGGTCTCAACAGCAGTCGAAATGTACATTTTGCAGATCCGTCCAGGAAACAGCGCGCATGCACGGGAGTGCAAGGAGCTCTCTGACTCTCACGAAGCCGTCTTCTCGCATAGGCAGGCGGAAAAGCGACGCACCATGCCTCAGTATAAAATTGAGTTTTTTGATCAGCAGGTATCCCTGCCATGCTGCCACTGCGCCACTGCCCCCGTCCTGCCTAGAGGTTTCGCAGTCACACGGGGAGTGCAGTGTTGGCGAAGAGGGTCCTATGCTCGTTGTTGAGACTATCGTTGCTGTTGAGGCTGCTGCCGCTGCTGTCGCGGTAGACTCGTAAGCCGCATTAGCACGGTGCACTCTGGCCTCTTCCTCCTCCCAGCCTCCCTTCTCCAGCGCAGTTGTTTCCGACGTTTTTGTGGTGAGAATTACTGTGGGTGACACCCATGCCGAGGCAGCGGTTCTCATTGCACCCGCTTCTTCAGAGACATAAGGAGGAGAGGGTGCAGCATGGGGGTGACTCTGCATCTGTCGGCGCAGTTCGAAGGTGTTACTGTCGCTACGGCTACTGCTGTTGCTGCCTGTCACACCAATCGAGCCGCCATGCATCCTGCTCCTCATGCTGCTGCAGAGACGCTCCCTGCTCCCGCAGCTGCTGCTGACTCTGCGACTTCTGCTGCTCGCAAGAAGCCGCCTTGGGAACTGCTGCTGCTGCTGATCCTCGCCGTGAGCCGCAGCTGCGGCAGCGTGTCTTGAGAGATCGACACCAAACGCAGCAGCCGCGTCTGCAGCAGCAGCATCTGCAGCCACAACAACTGCATCTTCTTCTCCATCCGTCGTAGCACAAGCAGAAATCCCAGCAGGTACACGCGACTGAAACTCCTGACTCAAAATTTCCGGATCGCAGTGCGCCGAAGGTTCTGTACGACGATCTGGCAGACTACCCCCCGGTTCATCGTATTGCTCAGTGTCGCTCCAGCTCGTCTGCAACACGCGCTGGACATGACAGCAGCAGCAGCGGCTGCTGCTGTCGTTTCTGCTGCTGTCGTTTCTGCTGCTGTCGTTGCTGCTGCTGTCGTTGCTGCTTGTCGATAGGCACTGCGGAGGCTGAAACAGTCTTAAGGACCGTAAGTGCGACGGTGGCAGAGCAGCAGCAGCGCGTGCAGGGCTTATCACTCCTGAGTCTTCGTCTCCCCTGCTCACGAATTCTGCCGCTTCCACACTCGACGACTTACTCGATCTGCAGCACGCGAGGAGGGGAGGGGAGGAGGAGGAGCTTTCTGCTACTGCTGCCGCCGTCCTCGCCACGTGCGTCGGACGGCAGCACACGCCTGCTTCACTCCCCGATGAGTGCTGCGCAGCATTTTTCTGCAGTGAGGAATGCGAAATCAAGGGGTGCAGCTGCCGCAGCTGGGGGGCAGCAGAGCAGCAGCTACTGCAGCAGCAGCGAAACGCCTCGCGCTCTAAGAGATTAACCAAATGATCTGGAGGAGGCCGAAGCACCCAGCGGAGGGGCCCTTGCTGTGGCGGTTGCTGATCCTGTTTCTCTTGCTTCTGTTCGAAATCTCCTCCCCTCTTCTGCGTCTGCGCCCCTCCAGGAGACGCAGGATTCATAGCTTCGCTGGTATGCCCCCACGCGCTGCAATTGCTGCTGGCGTTGCTGCACTCCAGGCCGCTCTGAGTGCCATCTGCAGAAAGTTCGTAGCTTGCGCTGCTGTCTCTGCCGTTGCTGGTTGTGCCCCTATGTCTGCTCGTGCTGCACCTTCTCGCAAGATCGCATCCAAAAATTTCTGGAGGACTGCCGTGTCTGTTGTCATTGAAGAGCGCACCACTCGGGGGGTGCAGAATCAGCCCGTTCGTCTGGCTCCCATGCGGCGTCTCCTTGCAGCTGGGCGCCTCGGCATATCCTGCTGCATGCAGATGCGGTGCTGGCCGTGGCTGTTGACGTTGTTGCTCCGGCTCCAAGAGCACTGAGAGCGCCTTGTGTTGCTGCTGCTGCACGTCGAGGCACCGTAGTCTCGGAGTGTACGCACACCTGGTGGTGCGCTGTTTTGCCATCTACGACGGGCCTGTACGCCAGTGAGTACAAGCGTCTGAATCTGTTCCGTAGACAAAGAAGGTCGCCTCAAGGCGTCGTGCCCGCCTCCTACGTGCTCCCAAAGGGGTAGTGGCGTTCGTACAGATTGGTATCTTGTCTTTCAAAAATTAGCGACAGAATGTTGTCTTGCAAAAGGTCCCTTTGAGCCGCATGCGGCTTCGCGAGGCTTGCAGACCAGGCGGTGGTAGCCCTCTAATACCTACCTCCTCTTCTTCAAGTCTTCCCCCCGTGTGAAAGCCCCCTCGGCCACTCGTCTTTATTTCCACTGTTACTGGCTGGCCATACAGACTTATCTGGGAGGGGTAATGACCTTTAGAGGAGCAGAAGCTAGGAAAAGAGAACGGATTGCTACGGCAAGCAAGCACAATGAGTGGCCGCGCAGCCGACGACGATGCGAACTGCGCCCTGATGTTGTGCTGATTTCAAGATTTCGCGAAAATTGAATAGGGAAAAGGCAAAATCGTTGTTCTGGTGCATCTTAGACCACTGCGACACCCGAATAATGTGGCACGTGATCAGCGTGCGGCTCATGCACGCTCTGGACCGGTCGGAATTTTCGGGAAGCTGTGCTTGCCCCTCCATGCTCATTATTTTTGGGTATATATAAAGTAAAGGACTCTTTGTTGAGGCAGTAGGGGCTGTGCAACTAACGTCGTATACCGGTCAATGGAAGGTGCTCTATTTTCCCATTGAACAAGGCGTAAAGGCGCGTAGCGCTGTCGTCATTTCGGAGTCTTCTTGCCATTTTATCCTTCGCCAGAAGAGCTCTGTCACTTTTAATAGCTGATACCGTAAGAAATTCTTAAGAGTTCCGCTGGACACCATCCGTTGGGCTTCGTGTTTATCTTGCAGCATCCAGAAGAAACACAGTTCACTATAAGCGATGGCAGCGTAGTTGCAGGCTAAGCTTCGACACCATTGTAGCTCAACCCAATACACGCGGTCTCGCACATTTCAGCGCCCCAGCAACAGAGGGCCATCCCCCTGCAGCGGTCATGTTGGTCTGATCCCTCGTCGTTGCTAGCTACTGTGGATGTCTTTCTCTCCAATAGTTGCGTTTTAGCTGCTAATACACAAATTCGCTTCCGCGTTTGCTTTCTGATTCGCACCCTTTTCGCGTCTCTACCTGCCTGGGGAGTGCCGACAGTGCGGGGGCCCCTCCGCCCTTCTGCACTTAGTCTTAATAAGAGAAACAGAATATGAAAGAACAAGTTTACAAGCAGGAGGAAAGATTTTGTGGGTTGGCTACACTTTTGCAACTCCTACCACACTAGTGATCTCCAACTAAGAACTTGTTTAAGTAGTTTACTGGTTGGCTTTTCTACTCGTATATCTCATTTGCTGCAGAATAATATAAGCTCGATACATGGACGCCATGTTGTTTGCGCGTGCGCTAGGTGCTTTGTGCAGCTAGCTATGAATGCCTAGAGTGCTTCGAGGGTGCAGCTACATGCAATTTCCCTGTTCCTGCATCTTCATGGAAGAATTTCTAGCCGTGGGCAAGGAAAGGCGCAAATTTGCTCAGAAAACACGTGGTAAGTTTCTATTGAGTTAGTATTGGGACTGGAGCTAAGCGTCTCCGTACGGGGATTCTAGGTGGAGTGTTACACCGTACAGTATCCGAACCCGTATAAATTCCCACGAAATCCCAAATAAGATACTTTTTGCCGATTACCGGTGTCAAAGTTTAAGCAGCGGTTGCTTCTAGACTCAACAGGAGAGAGACGAGCGCTGCGATTGCCGTGACTGTCCATGGGCCGACTGGCCTCTGAGGGCTGTCTCCTGATGCCTCCATGATGCTATTCCACACTTCTTCTCTGAAACAATGAAGAAACAGCAACGACGCACGCTGGAAAACATCTAAAGTAGCGGCCAGATCAGAAAGCTGCAAGAAGAAATAACAGCCTTTTAAGGCCGCAACGTGCCCCGATGCTATCTAATAACACTGAGAAAAAAATCGTTTCCTTTGTAGCATTTCAAGAAAATGCTTCCGCAAGCGGAGTCATTAACGCATTACCCATGCAAAGAAGTATTGCTCCCCGATTGCCGGTCTTCCATAAGCAGATGATGGTTGCAAAAGACGCAGAAAGACTTACGAGAAAGGTTTAGCCCCGATCCAATTCCCAGGAGGTCGGTAGTTACAGACGAGAATGCGATTAGGACAGCCAATGGAGCGCGCACAGCCGATGCCCGTGCTGGAACTCCACATGACCTGAGTGAAGTGGCCCGCCTTCACTGTCCATTTGCCGCCGGGGTACTCCCCGCTAAAGAGCAGTAAAAAAACAAATAGAGCAGCATTAGCAGGAATGAGAAGGGGTTGGCCTGGTGGATGCAAACACCATTATGCCACGGACTGGGGGCATGCAATGTGTTGTTGCCAGTTTCAGCAGTGAAACGCGATATCAAGCAGTGGGCTGTATGAAAGTACAACTACAAGAGTCACCACTCCTCAAAAGTCCACTCTAGCATGATTGCATATTTGGTCTCTGGTACCTAGGAATGACCTATTGCGCAGCATTCGCTCTGCCGCAGGAACAGCCTCACACAAAATTATGACATGGATTGACGCATAAAAGCGGCAATGGCTGTGTGCTGCCTCGTCAACTCTAGACAACAGGGCCCTACAGAGCGCCTCGCCGAGGCGACGCAACTCAAGTTGATCTGATAGGTAGACTTAACTTGCCTCACTTGAAGTATCGTATTTCACTGTACCATGCTCCCACGGCGTCTCTGCAGCGAGCTACGGGGCCGCTTGTAGCGAAAAGGTTTTCTCCGAACTTGGAACAACAGAAACATAGAAAGTGAGAAAATGGACAGGAAAATCAAAGTGAAACAATTCCCCAAGAAATCAAGGAGGCTGGCGAAGGAGGAATCACTGAACCCGCAAATAAGTTGGAAGACGCCAAGTAAGGGCTATAAATACCACTTTTATAACACGTAAGCTACTCCCTGATCCATGGAAAATGAGAGGAAAGGGACTAGCAGAGTGAGCGGTGCACCCAAGTTAGAATCGCATACCCCAGGTGCACCAGAGTGCTTGAACGGGCATCCATTGTTCACCACCTCTTCCATATACTTTAGCGCCTGCATAATTGCATCGGGGTCGCGATGGACCGGCATCAGTGGCTTCCGAAGGTTCCCAACCCTCTTCTTGTTGTGCTCGTTCACGCAGTCTGTGCCACCCATTAGCACAATTGCAACAGGCGTAATCCAACACACTTAAGTGCATCCACATGTGCACACCATAAATGTAAGTTATTCGTGCGCTGCAGGAATCGCTGATACATGACTCTGTAGACCCAGAGGAAGCGACATTGGGAGGCTAGGAAAGCTGGCTGCAGGCATAAGGCGGGATCTAGTGAAAACAAAGCAAACACCCCCGGTTCTTCACTGGATAAAATCTGTTTTTCAAATGTTTGGAGGCTCCAGGAAGAAGTCGGCAATCCATGAAAAAGCTGAATTGATGCGGGCCACGTGTTTCAGGGAGCTTCAGCGAAGAAGGCGCATCACCCACCTGCTGTCACATCTTCCGACTTTGGAGATCCGAATAATGACACGGCTACTTCGGCTAGCGCTGGACCTGTTTCTGTCTCCTCTTTAGAGTATTCTGTGGCATTGCTGCTATTTGTGATCTCGCCGCCCTCGGAAGCTGGCTCTGCTGCAGTTGACCATGCGTATTCTGACGCAAATGAGGGGACCACATTATGCTTAGTGGGCGGCAGCGCAGGATTCAGACTATCGAGAAGCTGGTGAGTGGTGGTTGCAATAGCAAGAAGGCCCCTGTCCAGCAGCAGCGCCAGGGAGCCAGCCAACGCTATCGAAGTGTTCAGATACCTCATTTCTCCCGCCGATACGCAGAAGGGACTTCAAAGAATAAGCAAATTGTGCGATAAAAAACTCCTTTCTTCTGTCAAATACTAGCCATGGGAAGTGACCGCTGTTGATCTCTCTGCTGTGGATAGCCAACCAATGCGGATATTTGGCCATTGGACATTTTGACTATCGAACTTATCGTCCATACATCCCTCTATGAACCTATACAGAATAGAGAAGGAAGCCCACTTCTTCCTCCTTCACACATTCTTACAGCTTTGTACGACGAAAGTCCTCCGAACATACCAAGAGGGCGTGGGGATCTAGGGGGCTGGGGGTTCATTTTCGGCAAACTTGAACGACACCAAGGCTCAGATACGCTAATTCGAGGTTACATCCGTAAAAATAAATGGATGCATTACAATACAATATTGCCAGTACGAGAGGGATCCATTTGTTACCTGTTAGCTTTCTATGCTAGACCAGCCATCCCTGCGGTGTGTCTCTTAGTAAGCCATCCTGTAGAAACTGGTGAATTAGCCAGTCATTGGTGGAGCTTACAGGTAAAAATTGAGTTTAAGGCATCCAGTGCCTCAAAATCCAGTGACATCACTCCTTTTAGCCTTTGAACGGTACGCCGACCCATTTGCAGGCGGAGCCTCGAAAAAACTGCGTTGCTACTGTAAACCGTTCCGCCCCTTCTAACAGTCGAAGCGCTTCCTTTTCATATGGAATGCTATTAACAGTTGAAAACTATCTATGGAATTCTTAATACAATGTAGTTTTAAGGATAGACCGTACAGGGCGATGTTGGGAGATCAGGGTAAGACTCTGAGCCTATGCCTTTTTCTGCAAAAATACTTTATACTGATACAGCCAAACGCTCTCCTTTGATTTTTGTCTATCGTGCCTGGGTATATGCGGCGTGTGTACTCTACATCCTGATATCACTGTCTCTTGGCCTGTCTGTTACTTCGCATTTCTGCAGGTGCAGGTTAACTACGTTTCCATTCACTCACTTCTAGTCAACTTTTTCCGTGGGGCTCAGGATTCCAGTTATTTGTCAAGCGCCAAAGTGCCTGCTGATGCAATACGGCGCACGTTGGTAACCCAACGATGCTTTGGACCCCAACTGAACGTACTTTTGTTGTGTAAGAGTGGATGCATCTGAACTGCGTGCAGGGAGAGGATACCAAAGTGGCTTGGAAAAGCACTCTCTCCCGGAGCGGCACAGGATATGCGTGATAGCTGTAGTGGCCTGAGCCCTTCAAAAGCAATTTATACTACATTAGCAACATTGAACTAGGAACTAATCAAGAAAGAACTAATTGGTCTCCCGTTTGTGTATTATTACTCCATGGTGGAATTTTCAGTACAACAAAACACAGTGGTCTGTGTACGTACACCAGATACAGTGCAGAATCAGCTGCAAATTCGGGCTGTGCTTATTGCTACACGGCCCCTCCTTCCTCTCTTCCCCGATCTGGGAAATCTAGGAGCGCGCGGCATGGAAAAAGAAATATCTTTCTTTTAAACGTTCAATAGGTAGCTGTTAAATTTGCACAGAATCTGGAGTTGAATGTCCTTAGGCTGATAAAGAAAAAGAGGGCTATACCTACCTACCCTTTCCTCGTATCTAGCTTACAGTGGAGGTGTTTCTCGTCGATTTAAACCTGCATTTGGTAGTCCGGAGTCAGCAGCCACCCTTATCATGAAGAAGACTAAAAAGGCAGCTGGCAAGTACGCGCGAGCAGCTAGCTATGAATGCCTGGAGTGCTCCGGGGGTTCAGCTATGTGCAACCTGTCTGTCCCTCCATGGGAGAATTTTTGGGCGTGGGTAGAGGAGAGCGGGAATTCTTTGAGAAAAATGGTTAATAAGCTCCTATTGCGTTAGTAGTGAGACTGGAGCTAAGCGTCTTCGTGCGGAGACTCTAGGTGGAAAGTCATGTCCACGCCCACCATGTTTATTCTTGGGCTCGAGGGTTTGCATCAGACGGCAGCTATTACGCATCTCTCTGCACTATACTACACTGCAAGTGTTTGCCTGTGGCTCTTCTGTGCAAGTGACTGCCAGAATATGCACCTTAAGATTCTTCCCTGAGTCTAGGATATCATTGAAACCCTTGAACCCAACAACAAACAGGTGGACGTGCATGTACCACTCCACCTAGTCTCCGTAGGGAGACACTCCGCTCCGGTTTCCGGGGCACCGACCAAAAAGGAAAACTACCAGAATCACCAACCACCGAAAATCCAACAAAATACAAGCATTGTTAAAACACTGCTCACATAGTGATGCAAACGCAGGCCAGCACTAGGAGAGCAACAATTACGCTGAAGCCTTATGCTGCTTGTCGACACATTAAAGGAAGAAACATTCAAAACTCCCGGAAGCAGGAAGTCGCATTGACACTAACAGAACAACTGATGCAGCAGATTAAACATAGTGGATCGCGATACTGCTGCAGTGAATTCTGCCTTCGCTGCCCTCCAGAGAACGCGAAGTTTGACGCAGCATCTCCTCTTTGCTGCCGGCGCCCCTATTATTGAAGTTGTCCTGAAGCATTCGTTTTGAATTATTGCAGCACCTCGCCGACTCGGCGCTGCAGCTTGCTGCCGCTTTCCACTAAAAAAGTTAAAAGTATTTCGACAAATCGCACCCAGGGAAAAACTTCATGCGCAAACCCGTAAAGGACATTGTGGAATCTTGGTACCTCAATGCAAAGCTGCGTCTGTCACGGTGGTTATGTCAACCGTATACGTGCCTGCAACTAGGCTTTGTCGGGAAAGTTGCACTGCGAGTCTTCAAGCAAATTTCCCAAAGAGGTAATTACAGGCCTGCGAACAAAAAGGGAGCAGCTCAGTCAGCCATCAGGTCCAAGATGAAAATGGACTGAAACTTGCGATGACAAGGGAGTACATCTGCAAGCTATTGCGTTCAAGTTGCAGGAGTATTTGTTACCACACATCTTTACAGGAAAATTCAAGATAGCTAGGAGGAACGCGGATGTGGAAGAACCATCTCATCCAGGAGAGACTGCAGCGGGACGTGTGTGCATCGCACCGAATTTCCTCGTCGATGCTAGAGATGCATGCCTCTGCCTCGTGCATTTCGAACCCAAGTCGACTAAGACATAAAACCAGAACAAGTCAAAAGTCAGTAAACGGAAGTTAAACGAAGACGAGGAAAACAACGGCAGCTACGAAAGATCCGATACACAAAGAGGTACTGCCTCCTTGCATCAGCCTTCTCACTGTATCAGTGGTCACATGCCAAAGCACTTATGTCGAAGTTGGACACTTGCGTACGTGATAAAGTCCTCTTTGGAAGGAGCGAGGCTAAAGGCGAGCGAGACGATATGTGAAACCAGGAAACCTGAGAACAACGGACACGTATGTTGTTTCTTTTGGACATATATGCCATAATTTGCATTTTGGGGGCACGGGTGTACCCGCTGTTGTCAAAGCCCAAACAAAGAGGACGCTTGCTACTCTCGAATCACTGAAAGTTACTTCAGAGACCAAAGATTGGCGTTTGATTGTGCACGGAGTGCCAATACGTTGAAACACACGGTTAGTCTGTTATGCTACAGTTTTAGCTAGGAAAAGTGTAAAAAGAAATTCTTGAACTTTTGCACGACTCACTGTGGTAGGGTTTCAAGACTCTGTCATAAGCGTCTAGGGCGCATTCTTTGGAAGTTGCATCCTTCATCGTACCAAACATATTGCAGATCAATGTGAAGATAAAGTCCAGGGCCCGTTTCATCCATAACATGCCTCGAACTCCGCTTTGCCGATCCTTTCGCATCCTAGGGATACCCATTTCCTGAACTTCCCAAGCGATCAACTCGCAAGCGGAAACAGTACCACCCCCACGCGAGTTCCGCAGCGCAATAGCTGCTGCCCGCATGTGACCTGAAGAATTGATGATGTCTTGCTGCAATATACACCGAAAAGGCAAAGAGTGACATTGACCACGTGAGACAGTACACGGAAGGGTACCGAATAAGCAACAACGAAAGCAACCAGAGAACGCCAAATCTTGGAGAATGGCGAGAGGGATATGCATACGAAGAGGGAAGAATGAAGTGGACGACACGAAACTATAAAGCACACATAGGCGACAAAACCACCTGTGATACACAGCAAATCTAAAGCATACTTCGGAGAGACGTGCGCTAAACCGGATAACAGAACGTAAATTTCTTCGCACTTTTGTTCATATTTCTGTTCAGTGCTTCACGATCCCCTATACTTTCGTAGACTGCGTGCGTTCATGGACTGGAGAAAAAAAACTCCTTTAGCCGGATGAATATCTAAGCAGGCCCTCTTGAGGAAGGTAGTGATATAAAGCGTCCGATAGGTCGCGGCAAGAAAGAGAAACAAATGATGTTGGCTGTTCAGTCATAATATAAGCGTTGGAGAAAAAGACTTAGAATCAACACTGGCTCTTCCGTCGGCAAAAGAATTACCTTGCACACGAGAGCGTCGCCATACTAGTAATGCTCCATGATATAACCTAGCTCAGCTTTTGCATTGCTTGCAGGCATCCGTACCTTGAGATGCCTAGATATAAAGCCTCCACCAAAGACGAGTTCATACACTGTAGATAGCTGCAGGGCCGCATCTGCCAGCTTCTCTGCACCAACCACAAAATGTAAGTACGCGGAGGGGGAATAAAGCACTCAGGAACAGGCAAATGAGGCTTTATGCACTGAATTAAGGACGCCAAATCTTATAAAAGGCACATCTCATGTGTCTGAAGTCGTAGCAGCTTGCTGGCTATCCATTTTATCGCACAGGACAAATATTCTCAGGGACGGCAGCATGATTGGTGGCCGCCGCAGAGAATTAAGCCAGAGGACAGGCTGAGATAGTTCAAGCGCACCTTCACAGCGAATACATTTAAAAAATGGATGCATGTCAATCTATATGTTCATCTAAAGGAGGCTTTTGCATACAGAAATGGGGTGGGCATAAGTCCCTACAGTTGTCGCCCAGTCCTTGTGTACTGCCACGAACCACCTTGGTGCTAGCTTTAGCTCGGTCGATCAGATAAAGAATGCTTACCGCAGTCCAGCTTTCCCTGCTGATCAGGAACTGCCCGAAACTTCTCTAGAAGGGCATTGTACAGGGCAGCGCCCTTTAAAGGCTCCTCCTGTACCGTTGGCATCTCAGCAAAGAGATGCAAACACCCTCGTCAAGAATGCGGAAGCTAGTAACCAGAAAGGCCGTAGACGCGGGTCAACCATGGATGATCCTCAGAGGTACATGAGGCGGCGACGCTTGGCGCGGATGGGAATTAAAATCCTTTAGCGGGGCCGTGCTGTCGCAGCAATCCAATAACAGCCTCGTAGATTTTATTCGTTTGCATTGCTGAAGCGCATTTCACCTTGCTTTCGCACCATAGTTTGCAGATGTCTGCTGCAGTGGCTGTACCGTGGGCTTTGACTGTCGTCCGCCATACGAGAAGGAGAAATAAGGGGGCTTCTCCCTCCGGAAGTCTGAGCACCAGAAAGTAGTGAATTCGCATGCAATTTGAGATTCAATAAGCAGAAAAGAAAGAGAGGAAGTGGTATCCGGGCAGGAGGCCCCTCGGGGGTACAGCGGCTGCTGCCCAGCGGCAGGTTTGCTTTGTGGATGTCTATAAAGCTCGCACAATAAGCTCTTCTCAATATGTCAGCCTCAACACAATAATCAGTGCTTGACTGCAACGGTGGTCAAGTGATTATATGTGGTTCACCACGGGAACTAGTACCCCTTGTATGCTCCCCCATACACTGTACGGTTTGTCGGCTCTCCCATGGCTTCTCGATGGGGAGAAGACAATTGACCTGAATGCCCTTCCGGTAATAAGGGAGAACTCTAAAATTTTTGCGCTATCAACAGAGCCACCTGGAAGGCTCATCTTTAGCTGAAGTTTAGCTGGCTGAGGAAACAGGGGCATCAAATGTGGCACTCCATCTACGGTCTATGGAAGGAGGCACTTAGCTTCAGGCTCCACAGAAACATGGTGGAAAGCTATCACTGCTCCCCGAAGGAGCTTCTTCCTTTGCCTTCTTGCTACTCTCATATTTCCCAGCATGAGGGGAGATTCGATAGCTAAGCTGCACGTAGCTGCACCTCCGAAGTACTCCGAGCACATTCACAGCTAGTTCGACACACCATCTAATGCACACGGATGCATCCCTGCGTCTTCATGCACCGAGTTGGCAGCACTTCGCAATAAGTTAGATATACGAACAGGCAAGCCAGTTGGTCAATTCTTTACTAATTCCTAGCAAGTGCAGTATTAAGCGTCTGTGTGTAGTTTAGCCCACTACATCTCCCCACCGCAATGTCGAAGACAAGCCCATGTCTTCCGTCTGTATAGTGAGACCACTGCATACTCGTAGCGGAAGAGACTCTGCCTTAATGCCACCCCTCACCCAGCGTAGCGGGTTAACTCAAACAGAAACACCTTGTAGTACACAAGTTATATTTATCCGAGAATCGGTAAAGAAATTACTGATTAGTTAATTTGTTCGTATGTCTCATTTAATGCGGAGTACCATTAGCTCGATACAATAAAGCGTGATATTGTGTGTGTATGCGCGCGCTTGAAGCTGTGGAGAAGGAAAAACATGAAGGGCCATTGTACAGAGAAGGTGCAGCTTCGCGCATCCTAGCTGTTCTGCTGTTCTCATGTCTAAAACACGTGTGCGAAAACCAGAATGCATCAGCGCTCTCTTGAAAACAGTCCCTACGTTTATGAGCTAGCACTGAGTTTGCAGTTGAGCACCCCTACGAGAAACTTAGATAAATCACAGTTGGCAGCTCCACGTGGACATGTTCAACTGTTCTCGTTCATGCACTGGCTCTGGACTTAACACGGCATGAGTCTTCCCTACAAAAGTCGTCTAGCTTAGACCCAGAAGTTTTGCAATTCCGTTATTAAATTGTCGTCGGCAAGAGCATGGTAGAGCAGCGTATTTGGCGCTGGATTCGGATGGTGCTGCAACGCCTGTTCAAGCCAGGAATGGATCTAGGGGAAAAGGCCAGCATTCAAACCCATGTATAACCTTTGCAGCTCGTGGAAACTCATATTTTTCAGTCAACAAAATGCTTATGCATGCTTGGTTGAGGTTATGCCGACTAGCAAAGCACAACGGCTCTATAGGGGGGCAGTACTTGAAGAATTCACCTGCTGGTTGGAGATGCACTTCGGTTTCAAGCCATTATAAAAAGAATGCTTATTGCAAAACATCTAAGAAGCACTTCAATGGTGGCTCTATGCATGCAGAGGCATTCAGGTATTACAATAGTATAAGCACTCTTGCAGACCCTTACCCGTTGGCCTATGCCGAGCTCAGCTCGACAGCAATTGGTGCAGTTGCGAACGCTGAAGAAGGAAAATGTATCAATACAAATGTATGAAACTTTGGCTTGCAAAGGTCACAAAGGAGCCGACCAGCTATTTCATCAGTGGGTAATCTCCGATTACCCGAAGTGTCACGTCTCAGGCGGTGTTACGATGGGCAACGACTCACTGAGGAAACACCCAACTGGTGGAGTTTCCACATTTGATGTACTACTTGGGATTTCAGAAACAAAGAAGCTGGATTGCTGCATCTTTGGCTGAGAAGGAATGGCCAAATCGGGCTTCACAACTCACTAATATCAGAGCTGGGTCTTCCGGCCGTACCCGACAGTCTAAGGTGGATGGAAACAGAAAGCCAAAGGAAACCAGTACTCTTAAGTAGCTTCAGAAAGGGCGTAAGCACCGTACCTCTTTTTACTGAGCGGGAATAGGTTATATAATCCGCAACTGCAGCGGCACGGAACTGCTTAAGACGTTGAACAACCAGACTGTGCCCAGAGGGGGCAGGCTGCTGGACTAGCAAACACGGCAAGCCAGGGAATCGGCAAGTTGCCCACACAGGATGTGGCTCAGTGAAGGTCTAGAGAGCCGCAGCTGAGAAACTTCAACCATTAAAGTGTGTGTCGATACAAATTCATATTGATGCTCAAGAAGTGTTAACTATTTGGATAAAAGATGTGAATTGAATTTGTTATCCGAGAAAACAGCATAAAAGTGCAGTCTGCCTCTTTGCTTGTTAGGTCAGTCCCTACAACTTGGGTCTGCCGACGAGCGGCATAATGCAAGGATTGGCAAGGCTTTGGTGTCAAATTACACTCTATCTCGGGACTGGGTCATATTACAACCATCCGTTACTTCCACGATGTACCTATGCCTTATGATTCCATTCTAACTATGCAATGGTAGACTCAATCAAATGCGCCCATGCAACCACAGCTGCGCGCTTTGGTGATTCGCGTGCTGGCAAGAGCTAGGAATAAGCATCTTCTGATCTCTGCAGGAGCATTTATTTCACCACTGGTAGGCGGGGGTACAGCCGGTAACTCAACAAGGTAAGACAGAGCCTTCATACGGGCAGCTCAGCAGATCAGTAAGAAAAGACGGTTTCGAGCACAAAAAGTATCTTGATGGCTCTCCAACCAATTTTTGATTTAAGAATCCAATTGAATATCCAAATCAGCACCAAGAATAGGTGAATACCAAAGAGGCGTCCGCGAGTGTGCTAAATGGTGACAAGCTATCAGCAGGCTGCCACTCGATTGTCCCCTAGCGTACCGTGTTGCATTAGTCCCAGGCTAGCACTAAGCAACGCTTTGCGATATCGAATGCCCCCACAGCATGGAGAGGAGACTGCGCTTTAGGCACTTGAATCGTTAAGAAAAGGCAAATGGCAGGAAAAAGCTAGAGCTCATCGACATGACCAAGTTTTGGCAGGTAAATGGACGTGCGGGGGCCCACGTAGGTTCGCTTTATGCCCCTGAACAAGATAACTGTAAGGCAGAAGTTCCTGACGCCTTTAGTTGGCGAAAAGCTTGATAAACTACACGTATGAGAAGTCTACTCGACATTTTACTATGCAGACGCTTTCCTACAAATTCGTATTCACCCTAAGGAAACTCACCAAACGGCATTCCACGCGCGCCCTCGCGAAATCGGATATACCTGTGTGCTGTTTTATACTTATCGATGCCCCAGCTGAGCTGCAACGGCATGCGATTTCGGATTTTATGAGCCCTTCAATGAGGGCTGGATTGCTTTTTACGTAGATGGCTGCCTAGTAGCCACCCAACACGCTCAAGAACACCTGCAACACCTAGGGCATGCGATTCGGCCATGGCAGTCTTTACGCTACAGTGGAACAGCTGTGACAGTGCTTCTGGCGCCTTGGGATGCCTTTCGTGCAGGAAAACATGCAGCCTCATGCTCACATTGTCAGCAGCTGCAGCAGCGAATCGCTGCAAGACCCGGCCACCCGGCCATTTGCAAGCCATTGCGGTTCCTGATACGATTTGGACTGGCCTGACTATGGACTTTTTTGTTGAATTGCCAGAGGTTAGAAGTGTAGATAGCATGTACGTCGCTCTCTGGAGCCTCAACAGATGAGAGCATGTCATGCTCTAGTGACCCGCTTGTACACTGCCCGGAATGTGATCACTGCCAACCATACCGAAACACATGGACAGGCAGAGTGCACCTATCGCACTCTTCTGTGGGATTCGAGACTCTGTGGTTAAAAAATTCAAGTGCTTGACGTGCATTTTCTCCTTCTGCTTAATGGGCTCATAATACATCAGGACACCTGTTGCTGTACCACATCTCTGGCGTGTACTGGCAAAACTCTTCTCTGATTCAGAATGGACCTGGTATCCCGCAGTCAGCAGCCACCCTGAGCAGTGGAGGGATTCAAACAACAGCTGGCCATTGCATGCGAATGTATGCGCAACTTTCAAGAGATGGAAAACACGGAATAATGATAAGCTGCGGTAGCTATATCTTTCAAGTCTGAAGGCTTGGTTCTGGGAGATGGGCAGCCCTTACGTGGTGCACTAGGTGACCAGTGGAGAAAATTTTGCATCCAAGAGACGCAGACCATTTGCGATTGTCTCAATCATCCACATGCTTCCCGTTGGTTCTAAAAGTTGGACACGCCCAGAACTATAAAAAGTGCCTTATTTCAGAACATCACAGATTCTGAAGTGACTTTGCCGTGCAGCCAAGTGGTCCATGAGAAGGAGTATGATTTGCACCGATCCGTAGAAGCGCTAGATTTTAGGACGGTTGGGCGCCGAGAGCATACTCGACGGTAGTTCCTGATGGAATAATGTGGGGAAATCAACCTCAGTAGCTGGCGAAGGAGGAGCAGTTGCGGACCTCGCTTCCTGAAGGAGAATTCGTGGCACTTCATGGTTCAGAACACTTGTCGCCATGGACAGTGGTTCTGACCTGCCCTGGTAATTGTCATTCCCCAGCACATATTCCGCCTAACAAAGTTGTCATCGTGCATGACTAGTGCATGGAAGCCTTGCACGATGACTGCTAAGGTTCTCCCTACACTGAGATTTATGTGCAGGCACTCTCAAGCATTGTGTCCCTACTGTCCTGCTTGTATATCTTGTTGGTTTTGGGAATTGACGCTGATGCGTTTGCCGGCTATATTTGCATGCATACATGGCTCTATGAGAAGCGGGAACGTCGCTGAACAATTGTGTTTTTGATTGGCTTTTCGTATTGCCTTTTTTGTTTGCTGGCAGCAGGAGAATTACACATTCCAGAGCTCCAACGCAAGCGAACTATTTCGCCGCTGCATTCGTGCTGAATGGTCCTCTTTTCTTTGAGGGCTAGTGTGTTTATCTCTTCTGAATGACCTGTCGGGACGGGTGCTTGCCTACTTTGCTTTGCTCATATGCTTTGCTTTTTGCATTTCTGTCTGCTTGGGGAGTGGTGATCAGGCATGACCTCTTCCCCCTTCCTTCAAGCAGTGGTTAGCGAACAGGAACTGAATACTAAGCATGCATTTTGAAGAGGACGGGAAGACGTAACAAGGTGAGTCACGCTTAGGATTTTTCAATCGCAATCGTTATATTTTGAAGAAAAAACTACTGAACTGATTGATTATCCTGCTTGTTCATCCATCCTATCTATTATACAGCACTGGCAGCATGATACTAGAAGAATCAAGGTTGTCTGCTTATGCGCAACATGCTATGTGGAACTAGCTGTGAACAGTCAGAGGGCATAACGGGTGTAGCTACGCGCACCTTAGATGCTCATTTCCCTCCTATTGAGAAATCTAGGGCGTGGGAGCAACCGAACAGGAAACGGCTTATTAAAGCATTCAATTACTTTGTATCGAGTCCGTATCGATTCTGGATTCAAACTTTTTACTACGGTGAGCCTTGATAGAGCGTTGGACACTGGCCCTCTAGTATTCTGCTAGCGGGCACTTTGCAAAAGAGAAGATAGATGAAAAGCGGTAGCGAATAGTCAGCTCACTACAGCGTTTAAGATTATAATTAAATTAGTCCTAGATGCCTAAGCGTAGCTTGCTCAGCTACATGCTACTGCATCGATGGTGCAGCCCAGCAGCAGGGGCACCGCATAGAGGCATATTCGCGCATGTCTTTTCTCTTTTCGCATTCTTAAAGGAACAAATGCTTCCCATTGGTCAAGGCAACGTGAAAAATTCATTTTAAAATAGCATTATTGCTTCCATTGTACTAGAGAATTCTTCGAAACAGGGGGTGATGCTGTAGTGGCTTCAAACAGCATATATTGTAAACAACAGCATGCAATAATGGAGTGCTAGAGACCGAATGCGCCAAATCGTAATAATAATTCAGTCACATCTGCCGTCTTGAATTCTGTGGATGCTCCTGCTCTTCAGTAGCTTGTAAGGTTCTCGGGTTGGGGCCCCGTGCTGCATGCAGAATTATATGTGCCTGTGTTCTTCAAGAAGAAACAAGGATAGTCTGTTTTTCTTATTGTTTTAACCTTGTCCCCCTCTCAGTTCATCTCCATGCAATCGTCCTGAATGCGCTTCTTGGTTTCCGATCGCGTTTCTTTGTGTTCTCGAAGGCCAAGAGTGACCGGACTATTGGATGTTGCTATCGTGTGGGTTTTCCTATTCATCCAGAGACACGACAACGCCTCATTTTCCGTACTCTTGGCTTGCGAGCTCAGCGAACTCCTCCTGCTTTGTAGGCTATAGAAGTAACTTCTCTTCCGATGGGAAGCTACGCGGGCCGTGAATGCCAACAGACAGAACAGCTTGTCATGCCGCACGTCCAAGCGTATCCATCATTTTAAAAAGTTGGAATAGGTGGACTGTCAGCCCTTTGTAATGTATGAATCCTTTTTTCGCTCTGCCTTTTCTGTTCCGAAATTTCAGGTATATGCACTCTGCAGCAGGCACGCCATCATGACTGCCCCCCGAGTGCAAGAGGAGATCTCAGCTCCAAATTCCTACTCCGCTCTTTCTAAGGGCTCCTTAAGGGCTGTTTCGATGGAAAATGGCATTCAGTACAGCGCTATTTATTGGGAGACAGGACACAGAACATGGCTTCCTTTTTGGGCTAGTATGACACAGAAATTTACTTGGAAAATCATAGACGATCAGGTAAGGCTACTTTCTTTTCCCTTTCATATTTGTTTCCTGTTGTCTCCAAGATTCATACATCTTTTGCATTTTTGTTTTACTGCCGGCCCAATGTGTGTAGCATAAGCAACCTTCTTTTGTTCACATCAAGGTCATGTATCGTAACATGGTTATGTGCTTGTTCTTAGACTAATATGCTTGTTCTCAAGCTTTCGCATACAATGATTAGTTTCGTCTCTCGAGTTCACTGTAGTCTTTTTCACTTTATATGCCACTCCTAAGTAGTACTCCGCTTTTTCTCGCTCCTGATCGATTGTTTTCTGGCACTGGTGAACGGGACTACAGCTTACCCAATCACCAGGCATCACTTGGGTCTTGAGCCTACTCATCGATTTTTGCGCACGCTGTTGAATCAAGTTGATCTCGTTCTGACCGCATTTTAAATTGCATCCTGCTGACCTTGTGTCCGAGTTTCGCGTGAACAGATTCGCCGGTTTTGGGGTTTCACGAAATCAATTACTTCTGAGCCCTTCGTCTTCTATTCTTCACCTCGCACGTACATGCGGCAATATTTTGGTGATCCTGATGTTCATTTAACAGCTCCTTTGAGCGTCAAGTGGAATTTCGCATTCTGTCCCACAGGAACAGAAACCTTTGAGGCATATGATGCACAAGTGCAACAAGCACTTGCTGCAAATGCAGAGCAGCAAACGCATACAGAGGAAAACAAAATAAGGGCGATCAATGCTATTATCAGAAGCTCACAACAGGCAGAAAGCCAGTAAGCAGCGGTGTCGAGTCCCGTATGCCCACCGGCTGCGTGCTAGCCACTGGCTAGCCTCTATCTGAAGGCAGCTAGCTGTTTTCCATACACTTCTGCTTTGGACTTTCAATTTCGCTTACTCAAAGCAAGGAAATACTTATTATCAGATTCGTTGGAATAGGGGCATACTTTGCTATGGATTGATCACTACAGTGCCAGGGCCTTTAAGTGACAAAAACCCAAAGCAGCGATGTTTGAATTAAGAAGCACAGCAAGTAGTGGGAACAAACTATTGACGATAGCTGTAAGACTACAGAAGGGATTGATTAATTCGAATCCACGCAACTAAATAAATTTTAGCTCTAAACCTTGGCAGAAAATGTGATGCTTTTCTAGTGCTTGTGGTTACACAGGTGGAGAAACTTTAAACCGAACTTAGAATATAATTCCGGGCACGTCTTTTTTCTTTCTTCCGCTGATCACGGAGAGGTTACGATGAGCACAATTGGTCACAAGTGCCGCTACAGTGGCATTTAAATGGAGACTGCAACAAAAAAGCTTGGCGTATTGCTCGTGCATCAAAATGAATGAAGAGTTTTAGACACGAAAGGCTCGCATACTAACCAGTGCACCAAAGTGTTTCCTTTCCTAATATTCGAGTTTTAGACCTTAATCATCAGGACCATACCTTTTCGCCTTGTCACTCCGTACAAAGGGCCACAGTGCGTGCCTTTGTCAGGCCGGGGTGTCGCACCAGAACGTGAATACCTGTAATTGCACGCTCACTCAATTCAATCCCCGACGGGGGAAAATGAAGCACTCTTGGAATGTTCAGAGTCTTGTAGCCCGTATTTTGGCGCTTCGCAAGAATCGACTGTGTCTCTTAAATGCCTGCACACATTTTAAAATCAAAAAGTGTGCCTGGAAGTTTGTGCGTGGATCTTGGGTGCCTGCAGATAATTCGTTACTGTGGTGGCTTCGAATACAAAACTTTTTGCTCGCCGTGTGCAGTCGCATACTCTTTGTTTTACTTTGAAGCTCAAGCGTGGTGCTTTCGTGTATTACATTCCAGTGCCGGGCTAGATCGAGCGGAATGCTAATAGTTGAATGAGCTCTGTCAACTATCTGTCGGCCATGATTGCACTGTAGATCTGAAATTGTGCTTTAGTACGTGAGAGAGTAAATCATTTGTAGCTGGTTTGGTATAACACCAATTTCAGGTGATTCTCCGTAGAAAAACAAATGCAAACTATTCTGTAGTGGGGGTGCCACGAAATATTCTTTGCCGGTGAGGGTTGTGTGTTCGCTATACAGATTCTGAATGCTTGGCTTTGCCCCTACAAAACACTGTGACTGCGACTTCCACACAGAGCACTGTTAGCTTAATACAACAAGGCGCAATTTCGTGTGCGTAAGCGCTAGCTAGTAATTGAAATAAGCTGTGTATGCTTGGAATGCAGAGAGGGTACAGCTGTGCGCTGCATAGCTGTCATTGTCCCCTCACCTGCGGAACAGAGGGGCGCGGGCACGCGAATAGGAAATTTCTGTCCGGATACACTCAATAGCATTCTGTATATTTTATATTGACTCTGGAGTGAAGCGTCTTTCTATGGAGACAGTAGATGGGGCGTTTCAGAGCGAAGCTTACACAGTGGCTATACCGGCTGTCCTTCCTCCACTGGAATTCTCTGGATAGTGAACAGCTGTGTTGAAGAGCCTTTTTTCTTCGTTATGGCGTCTGAACTGCCTTTTAGGTTTTGGCACGGATTCTGAGTGGCTCAATGCGAAAAAATGATGAGCCTTGCACTGAGCTTCAAGTCACATAGCGTAGCTCTCTACGGAAGTAGCGTTGTTTTGTGGAGAACACACTATAATATCAGGCAAGTCATATAAGAGACTTGAATTTAGTCTTCACTGAAAGCAAGCTAACCAACTGGTAAATGTCTATGGGTAGCTCTCCAACACACCCTGGATACCCCTAGCAGGGAGACACAATCCCCCAATAAATGTATATGGGCACCTTAACCACGCCTTGAACTATGCTGTACCGCTATTGAATACAAATCTGTTTGCCAATGGCAGTCTAGTTGTGGTTTTCTGACAACTCTTAGGCCATTATGACGTCCAGTGTGGCGACGCCCCACTCGTTGTACAAGAAACCCTTGCTGCAAACCTGTTTGTCCGTGGGGACAAGATAAACTAGTTCACAGCCATCCAAAATAGTTAAAAGCAAGGATGAATTTAGCTTGGTAGACGAGGAATACATGAGGTTGGCGTTGTTCGTGAACAGGGAGAGGCGGCTTGAGCGGCCGACTGGTATCCGAGGGTGCAGCTACCTGTAGAACTTGGCGCGGGGTTTGTTTGGGTTTCCCTCTGAGCATTGTGTAGTACTGTCGTATATGTTTTCTGGCGGTATTTCGTCATCGTTGGGGTCAAGTTGGCGCCGTGTCGTGTGCAATAAGTGGCGGAGAGCAGTTTGTTGTGGATGGTGTGAGAGAGCAGGCTGCATGCTCCATGCATATGAACACTTTACGATCTACCATACCATTTTTTATTATTGATTTTAGGGTCTAGGGATAGGGCTCTCCTATATGCCGGAATTGTAGACAGACACGGCGAATTCTACACGGTACCTTCTACCCTTGCAGCCCATCCCTCTGACCTCAGCAGCGGCAGTTTCTGCTGTTTCTCTTGTCTTTGGGACCTAGAAAACACGGCGAATTTGTTTTTCTCCTTCTTTTGTCTGCACTAACGATGGCAGTTAGTGACAGCTGGGCACGATTGCTGGCGCCGGATTCAGCTTGGATGGAGTCGGCCCGGGGCTTTTTCTCTCCAATGAAAGCTTCCATAATCCATTCTCATCCAGTTGTTTCTCAATTATTTCGCCATGTAGATACGGCTACAGAAAGCATACTGTCTTTTTACGCCCCCGAGCTGCCTCCAAACGCGAGACAGAACAACGGGCTCCCTATGATGGACGGGAAAGACGTCGCGATTATTATTTCGGCATATATCCTTCTTGTCGTTCTTAGTCTCATCCTTGGTAGAGGCTCAGACCCACAGCCATCGGTCGATAAGAAAGCAAAATCACTCATGGAAAAGATCGGACCTGTTTTTGCCTTTCAAGCAATTTATAACATAGCACAGGCAAGTGCAACCCCTGCTTACAATGTTTTCCTCCCCTAAAAATCTTCCCTGTGAGTGTTTGTGTTAGACGGCCAAGTTGTATATTGTGTTGAAGCATTGGTGTTGCATTATGGCCTTGGCCTCGGCTGAAGATCTTACTTTGCATCCAGCAGCTATCTTACGGTTGCTGTCTGCACCGCTGCCCATGTTCGTTGGTGCGCATTTGCAGTACTTACAACTTATTGCGATTCCGTTCCTGTGTGTTTTCATTTGCTTGCTGCAGGTGGTTTTATGTAGTTTTTTGGTGTTTCGGGTAATCGATGTCTACCGAACAGAAAATTATTCATTTCTGTGCAATAGATTCAACGTTCCCAACACACGCATGGCCGAAGTTACTTGGTTTTTCTACATGTGAGACAGCATAGGAGCACAGGTGGATAGAGGGTTCCTTCTCCCTTCCGACTAGAAAAAGTCGCGTGTGTAAAAATAGTTGATCTCACGAGTAAAATCAAGGGGTAATGAGGGAAGAGAAGCAATGCAAATAAATGCGGGAAAAGGTAGGCTTTAAGTATCGATTATGTCTGTTATATTTGTAGAATTTCTATCATCTTTTGGCTTAATTCCTTTTAACTCAGGCTGAAGTACCTGGATCTCTTCGACACGGTCTTCATGATTGTGCGGGGAAACTGGCGGCAACTCTCTTTCCTACACGTATACCATCACAGTTCGGTTATTTACATTTCCTGGGTCAATGCGAGCGTTGGATTTGATGGAGAAATCTACTACGTCGTCGCGTTGAAGTAAGTTGTCCATATTTTCCATATATTGTGCATGCAAGCGACTCAGTCGAACTGCCGCTTCAGGTATTTAATTATTTCTAAGTGCTTGCTGCGCTTCCTTTTGTTCGCCTTCGAAACATTATCTTGCTTATTTGTGCGCTATTGTCATACTCCATCTTATTTATTACCTTGGTGCTTTTTCCCCCGTGTCATCTTTGCACCCTGCTGTTGCTCTCGATTTTTCTGAAGTATCCACGAGCCTACGTCCCTGCATGTGTTCTGTTTTGCTTCAGCGCATTGGTACACGTGGTGATGTACGGGTATTATTTCATGGCAAGCCTGAACATCCCTCTGGCGCGGATGGTTAAGTTCTTTGTGACGCAACTGCAGATGGCACAGTTCCTTTCAATGACTGCTCATGCCTGTTACCACGTATACTTTCATCAATCTTGCCGTTACCCCATTAGAGTCACTATCGGGTATTTCTTTTATGTCCTTAGCCTCTTCTTGCTCTTCAGAAACTTCAGCAAAAAGACATACGGATCGGCCTCCCAAGCCAGCAAATTGAAGAATAAGATTAAAGCAACATGATACCTGCCATTGCATGGTCTTTATTCTCATCCACATGTCTATTAGCCTTTTGTTTCGTTCATCTGCCTAAGTGGCTCTACAAGTGGGTGCAAATAACAGCCCCCTATAAGCGCCGCTATTTGCCCCTTCAGTGGTCCCATGAAAGGGCCTCAGAGGGGGCTGCGGAGGATCCGAAGAGGCCTCCAGGATACATGTTTAAGTGTTGCAAGCTGCCATCAGCCGAGGTTTCTTGTCTCTGACAAAGCTGCGAATGTTTGCGGTTCTTGTACACCGGACAGATGATCAATGTAACCATCTTCAAGAAGCCTTATGCGTCACATTACGATTGTGGCTTTTGGGATTCAGGCCTAGGGGCGGTAGATTTCCGCAGAATTGCACTTATTAGGGGACAACTGCGAAAGCAGGGTCCGCTGGGTAATAGTAAACGAGGGCATACCGAAATAGAGCAAAAAACACGGGCGATTCCTGTTTGCCCAGACAATGAGATGGTCAGCGTAACTCATGCATAGACTCAGAGTTTGAGTGAAATTTCCGTGGAAGCGTGGGCGGAGGGAAGCAGAAGTTAAACCTAGCGGCGGTCGTAAGCCTTTCACTGCTATGGATATCACTAAAGGAGCTAGCGTAATCCTTCGAGGGCAGATTGTACAAACCAGGAATTACAGAGCTCGCAAGTTGATTTGTGAACTGAGTGGGCAGAAACAGCCGCTCCCCGCAGTTCAGAGATAATGGAAAATCGATCTACGCTGTAACAAATTGCTTCCTAGCGTTGCATTACGTATGATGATTCTAACTGGCGTCGAGCAACAAGTATAAAAATATAAGTATACATGCATACCTATACACATGCAGTAACGTAGAGCATACAGCAATGCATCTGCAGAACATTGCTGAATTCGCCAAGATGTGCAGGCAGCCTCGTCATATTCTGCCTACCGCGGTTTCCCACCATTTCGTGTCCCGCTTCTCTTGTTTTTTGAAAATCAGAAAACGATATTAAAGTCTTCCTGCTTAACATTTAGAGTAAAGTTGAAATCGCAGAGGCCATAGAAAACTTGAAAAGCAGGGTATTCCATCTGCCGAGGGATCTGGCCTTTTAGCATGTGGAAACGAAGGAATGTTGGAGGCCGCTTGAAGTAACAACAAACCTAGGAAAAGACATTTTAGACAGAGGAATAGACGGGAGTTGATGGTAATGAGTAGCACTATGTGGTGCTTCTGCATTTATGGTGCTACGCAGCATACACGTTTAGAATGCGAGACAAATATAGAATTCGTAGATTTGTGTGGCCATGCTGGTGTATATATGTACCTGGGCATTTATTTCAGTGCGTGAGGGAATGCGATGCAGATAAGCACTATCAATGCATGTAGAATGCAAAACAGTGGATGTGTGCATGTATATATTTGTATGTGTTGAATCATGTAAGTGTACATGAACTTCTAAGCTTTTCGTGGGCAGATGCAAATATACAGCGGCGTTACTTAGGGTCCGTTGCTAGCCCTTCTCTAACCTGCGAATGTCCTCCAAGATAGTGCAGCTTTTGGCATTTGCTACTGCAATAGGAAGCGACTCCGCACCTAATGAAGGTCACAATCACACCACAAGAGCATGCGATGGCCGCAAGCGTAGCATGAATTTTTCTCTGCGCAGGGCGTCACCATAATAAACGGTTCACAATTTGAGAACTTGGTTTTATGGATGCAGAAGCTACAGTATTCCCAACGCAGGGTTAAGCCCCTTCACGAACTAAGTGATACTAGAGACAAGCAGTTTTATTTCTATTTCGTATTTCAGTAAAACAAACCGCTAGCAACGAACAATCCCAACCTTCTGCACTGCCGCGTAAAGCACCTCTGCGCAACCAGAGATGGGGAGTAAAAAATATCTGTTTTAACCAAGGCGCTGCTAGCTAAGATCGTACACCCCAAAATTCCGGCAATAAACACAAAACACATAAGCATAGGTTTATCCTGTAGTGCATAAAAGAGCCAAAATCCGGTGTTTCTCTGGAGTTCTGGTGAAGCAAACACGCAAATACAAAGCCAGTACAGAGACACGCACTTGAAGTCCTGCACACGCGACCAAATCAGTAAGAAGGGAAGAAGGAGAGGAGGACAGTACCGAAGGATATATGCTCACTCAGGGCAGTATTGCATTTTCGCTGCAGCCCCCGCAGGCGGAAATCCCTGAGTTCGGACATTTTTACATCCGGGTAACCAACACGGAATAACAAAGCCTTTCCAGAGTGTGTGTGGAGGCGTTGCGTCAATTTGAGCCTCTTTTTTTGTTTCAGCCCTCGATATCACTTTGGCATCCCTTATTTGTGCAGGTGTTTCTGTTGCCACTCCTGCAGCATCGGCAGAGGACGGCTGAAAGCCGGGAACCTTGGCAGCAGCTGGAGCAGTAGGAGGTCTTGGAGAAAAAGGCACCGATGGTGGTTTGTGTTGGGTGGCTGTTTCGAAGCGGATGTGCGAATGCCGAGTCGAGTGGCTTAGAGGCCGTGAGCCTTTCATGCTAGACCTTAACGCTGAAGTCGATTGTGTAAGCATCTTGCTGCTGGTGGAAACAAATGAACCCTTTCTTTCTGGCTGTGAAGTTGGTTCTGGTTCGAGCAAGGAAGAAGATGAAATCCATTGGTGGTACGGAGGCTCCCATGCGCTCTGCCACAGAGATGGCCAGGGGCCGCCCGCTCGAAGACCGCAACGATAAACCAAAGTGTACGGATACAGAGTATTTGGGTTTATATTTGTGCTGATGGTGGTCTGAAGGGATACCACAAAGGAGAATGAGTATACGACAAAAGCAACATAGCAACAACAAGCAGGCTAAAGCAAAAGGGATAAGGAAAGATGATAACACGAATAGCCTCCTTGGCAAACTGAAGATTGGGGCACACTCAGAGAGCTTTAGTCAAGCAAGAGATCCACGCATGAACGGAAGGCACCCGACGGCTCTCTGGCTACTGAAGAAGACGTTGGAGTGCGTGCATACCTTCTTAAAAGCGTCGCGGAGACAGACAGCAGCTTCCCAGCAAAAATCCCACGTGACATCTGTGGCTAGGGTTGGTTTTTTGTCTCTGACTGTGGGCAATACGACTGTATCGAGTGCGTCCAGGATCTGCTGCGCAGTCTTTAAAAGAAAGGGGGCCTCGTCAAGGCAGGTCATGTACATGAGATCAGCAATGAAGCACAGGAGGGAACGACAGAGAAATATGTTGATGCGGGGGTGAAGAGCCTTCACAAGGCAGTCCCAGAGGCACACATTTGGGAGGGAGGGATGTTGATTCATATTTAGACGCTCCATCATATCTGAGCATGCAACGCACAAGCTACAGAAATAAAACAAATTCAAAGGCAACAAGATTGAGCGTAGCGCTGTACATGTACAGATCACATGGCCAGAACAGACACATCGTGGGCTGGTGGGCTAAGGCCAAAACAGTGAAGTAGCTGCCGTGGTAGAAGACATGCTCAAAAAGTATCCTCCATACAGCTGAGCGCCACGTCCCACACCCTTCGCCTGTCCTTCTCCTTTCGAGCACCAAAACAAATTTATATATGTGAAAGTGGACGATATTCTCGCGGGTACAACGCACTTGGGGCCCTCATGGCATAAAGTGTCTCCGTCAGCATTTCCACAAATCTCGTCACAAGTCCAACAGCCTGGGGAGACTCGGGGACCTGAGAGGCCGGAAACAGAACCACGAGAAACACGCAATACGCCGGAGCTGAGTTGCCTATAGAAGATTTTACTGAGTGCAGCAGAACAGACAGGACAATTGACGGATAACAAGGCTGCGTGGGAAATAAGCCATGAAGGTCATTTGACTGCTTTTCTGAAGAATTCGAAGAAACCTTTAACTTTCCGAAAATATTTCGAAATTCCCTACTACTCTGCTTTTTCTCGTTAAAAATAGAGTTTTGAGTGATGGGGGTGTATCTTGCCTAACCTGCTTTTCCGCAAGAGCGGAGAGGAATGCCTTAGTGACGAATGAGTCCAAAAGTCTCCCACAAATTGTTTCTTTCTTTTCCATATTTGCGGTGTATTCAGTAAGGAAAGGCATAAGTTTACAGATGCCTTCGATGTTGTACTGCATGGCCATGCAGGACGTTGAGTTGTTCAAGACCACGTACAGCTGGTCTTTGGAGCGACGCAGTAGAAGTTCTCTCTCTTGGGGGCTCATGCTGGGTGGTTGACTACGTGATGAAGGTGATGGAGAGGGAGAAGAACACGACTGAGGCGTAGAGACGCCTTTTTGTGCATCGCCTTTTTTGCGTCTTGCCTCAGCATCATCTGTTTTCCCACGTTCGGAAGAGCGGGCCGATTTCGCTGTCGCTCTTCCTCGCGTGCAAAGGTTTTTGATTATTTGCTCTGTTTGCCGGGCGTCCTGCAGCTTGGACTCGTAGTTGTCCTGTCCCCGCCAAGAAAGCATGTGCATCATATAGCTAATCCTATACTCGAAAAACTCCAAAGCGTTCAAACGAAAGAGTAGGCGGAGGAGACCAGGAATCCGCGACTCTAAAATGGCTAATACAGGAAAGGGCACGCATTAAGAAGACAGAAACAATTGAACAGAGCAGACGACGACGTAGTGAAAATTAGCCAACCACGGAGGTGAAAAGCAAGAATGATTGCCAGGAAATGCATGCATGTGTGTATACATGTACATACGAGGACGTAATGCTGATCCCGCGAACTGCCTAAAATCATGGGCAGCCTACTGCTGTGGGTTGTCTCCTCCGTTCATTTGATCGCCTCCCCTCTCACCGGTCAATACGTAGTTCGCAATTCTTCCCATGCGGGAGAGAGCCCTTGTAGCCAAACACCAGTCGGATAAGGAGCTAGCTTCTTCAATCTTCATCATGGATGTTTCGGCATACCGCATGTCAAAAAGGTAAAACCGTTCCATGATTAGAGGAACAAACAAGGAGTGCACAAGCTGTGTAGTCTCGTTAGGAGACATCAGATATCGAAAGATAATAGCTTGGGGGTTCGGCACCTCAGTTCGTAGCGACTGCAGCTCGGGCTTGCGCAGCAGTCGAGCAAATACCGAAGTTGCCGGCAACTAAACGGATGGGAAGACACAAACAAAAAAGATAGCATCGAGGATTAAATAAGCAAGCCAATGCACAGACAACAAAAGGGAGGACCAAGCGATGGAATCTGGAATCCAAGGAAGAAGAAAAGGATGGAAGAAAGGCGTATGTCTACTAGTAGGTCATTTCAATAAAGGCACAAAACGAGAAGAGTATACATAGACTCCAGCGGCTGCGCAATAGAGCAATTAATTTTTTCGGGTAATCCTTGTTTCCTACTTGCAGTCCTCACAGGAAGGAGAGGGGCGCCGTACATATCTACGAAAAAAGTACAGAGCCAGAAAACTGGTGACTTTGCCTATTGAACTGCGTTGCGCGTGGCTTACCCTGTTGGACCAGTTGCCGCCGAACTGAGTAAATATTTCATGAACGATCTGCTTGACCATCATGTGTCTTTCTCTGTCCTCTTCATCTTCAAGTTCCTTGTAAGTGCGATTCCTTTGGTTCCAAATCGCAAGCACTTTATCCGGGTGTCTGTAGAGCGTGTCTTTTGTCTCCTGCTGCTCTTGATGCCCCCAATCTACGCCCTGGGAATGATGGAGTCCACAAAAAATATCCCAGCGAGCAGATTGTTGCCGCGAACCAAGGTCAGTAGAATTTTCATCCTGTTGGTACATCACGTTGATGTCTCTCTCTGCACAGCGCATTCAACCAAACATCACAAACAGAGGTGGATACAACACAGAAAAGAATACAGAAGCGGACGTGCGGTAATTTTCGCAGGCTTCGTCACTCTCAGAGTGTGTATAAGCCGGTATTGCAAGTGTTATTTAACACAAATTCAAATGAAAAGGCATCCAGAAAAGAGCTTAGGAAAAACAGCAAAGGAAGTGTGCATGCATGCGAAAAGGCGGTACACAGAATGAGCCCAAGAACACTTAGCTAGTGCATAATGCATACTAAATTAAGGATCTTTCAGCTTTACCCATTCTCACGACTTCGCGCTTTGTCGTGTCTTTGCTTTCAACACACTGCGCAACTCGCGTTGCGGCCATCTGTGGCACACAGACACAGCCGTCGTTTTTGTCCTACTGACTTTCCTGCGGGTAATGGCAGGGTCGCGTCAGCCTCGAGCATCCATGCACAAACTACACGGTCTTTCGAAGAGAACGTACAGCAGGCAGAAATCCTCATACAAAATGCACACCAATCTACCAGCCCGTGCAATAATTTAACGTGCATCATGTGTTTGCCAGAGTGTCCCTGGGTAAGCCGACAGAGCCCTCGTGAAGCACCCCAGGAAGACTCTTGACAAAGAATCAATGAGAGTATAAAAGCTGGCACCTTACCCTTAGGCGTTCATGAGACTCGAAGAACGAATCTGTGATGGGTTGATCTGCGTATTGGTTTTCGGGTTGCAAGACGAAGACGGAATCCACATTGTCGGCATCGAAAGACGGTTGGCGCGACCAGGAAATATCTAAATAAGGAAAACGATCTTGGAGTCCCTTTCGCATCTGCAAAAGCGTTCACAAAAAAGATGGATACGCTATTCATCATCGGGGATTAGAAAGGATATTTGTCGCAATAGGTGGACTAATGCGACAAATATCCTTTCTCTCTGGCAGGAAGCGGTCAAACAGATAGAGCCCTTAAGGCTCCTGCCTCTAGCAGCGCGGCGGGTTAGCATGAACCGAACAAATGAGGACCGCACAGGTGGGGCAGCCCAGAAAGCGGGGAAACTAAGACGGCAACTATAGATGCTATGCCCGAGGTACACAGCGATCGCCGCCACCAAGAGCTCCAACGCACCGTCTGCGCCGCTTGGTTAATATTGCGCAACGCGACGAGCTCGGTTTGCTCATTATTTCCACCAATTGGAAAAGGAAGCGGGTCTTCTTGACTCGCGTTTGCATCGTAAGGATCAAGGAAGCCCTCTTCATCTATAGACCTAAAGAATGCAATACATGAGGAAAAGATCAGAGCACAGACAGATTTGAGAAAGGAGAACGCGGAGCGAAGTGGTTGCAAAGTATGAAGAAATAAAAAGCATTAGCAATCCATAACACGATGCACCACATAACAAGGAAATAGGAGGATGCGGACGTAGCTGCAAAAGGCCGTATGCCTGTTCTTTGTGCAATCATTCTCCAGGCATAAGATATTACTCGCTAGAAGCGACAGGCACGTGTGAGATGGAGAATCTTTGCACAGCACAGGGATAGGGGCTAGATGAGTTGCGGCTTTTCTGCTACTCATCGTCAAACAAATACTAAAGTATCTAGATTGCCCCTCCCCTTCTGCTTATGGTATCTGGACTGCTACTGTTTGTGGTGTAAAGCCAATGCAACCAAAGATAAACGTACTCGATTCTTAGGACTCCTATCTTCTTCGAAGGTGTCTTCCTCTGTGCGAGCAACGTGTCTCCCAGCACATCCGTCCCCGTCTGTTCAGTGTATGGAGGACAATGCCGTAGCTCGGAGTGAAGGCCCTCTCGGTGTTTCCATGCCTCGGAGGCATTGACGTTCTCTATCAAATACGTGTCCATCGCCTCTTCTGTGCGTAGGCGATGTACGCGAAGTGCATCCGAGGCGCTTAATAGACCTGCTTGAGGCAATGTAAGCTCTGCTTCGCGTGGCGCAGCATTGGTCACCGAAGAAGCTGCTAGGTGTGGAGACGGCTTCTACGCATGCCAAAAAAGCGCAGCACATGCAGCACCTCCAAAAAAATTCAATCATTTTTTACTGGTATACGTATGAACCAACGTCATACGTCCAAGTAAGTCCGTCACTAACAAAAAACTCAGACAGCACGTGGCGTTCGTGAACATGAAGTTGCAAATACATCTGGTGTTCATGATTGCCATATTTATACCTGTATACCCAAAGCGCTGGTTTGACTTGTATGAGAATACTTGAATGCACACATTTAGGAAACTCCAGTAAGGACAACCATATTTTTAAAATCCCTTAAAACATCAGCAATATCAAATGGTGAAAGCAATGAATTTCAAACAAAGGCAGGACTGAACACAATGATCAGAATTATCGACACAGCAGCCCTTTAATGGACAAGAAATACCTCCAGCCTCACGCTCGGCGTTACCCAAGTCTCGTCTGCGACAATTGGCAGCAAAACACACAAAAGCTGCTCCCATGTGCCTGGCTTTGCAGGAAAGTGGCGCAAACTAGCAGCTAAAAGGTATATGCCTCGCTTTGGCATGACAAGCATCGCCGAAGAGAATACATACGAAGAAGTATATCCGTCTCTTTTGTAATGCCACCTGTTTTCTTTGCGATGCTGTGTATTGGATTTTCCGCACTTACACAGTCTACTCTTCGCAAACTTCCCAACAGCTGAGTCTTCTCGTGCTTCTTCGGCCTCTGAGATCTTTCGCGGCTGCCATTTTCTTTTCTCTTCCGGTGTGGATATCATCAAAAAGTCCTTTTTGTAGAGGTTGGGTTGCACCGTCCACTTGGAAGCGCCCACTTTTGCATCCGAAAGTCTTTTGTTTTCTAAAAGGAGCTTTTGCAGCTCAGGTGTCTCTAAGATGTCTGTAGGATGTTTTACACGAGGGGCAGGAGGAGGCTCAGCCCGCCGTATCGGCCGCTTCGCTTTTAGCACCTCGTCTCTGGGGGCTTCAGCAGAGGAGGCGGCGAGTCGAAGCATTTCTACGGCATGAAATCATCATAAAGAAGGATGTTGCACAAAGCCTTTGACAGGAGCAAATAGGCACGCAGGATGGATGGGGGGGGTTTGGGGTTGGAAGGCAGAACGCCCTTCTCTTGTGTCTAACCATAGGAACAAGCATACATGTTCTCCCAATCATTTAGTGTGGAAAGTGCAACCAAAGTCGCGGCTATTCAGGTATTCCGTATATGTTTGCCGCCTTACCGGGAACGTCTGCTCCTGCATCTTGTGGTGCGTCTGCGTTGCTCGGTGCAGCTGTTCGCCATTTAAAACCCTCATTCTCCTGAGTTTGCTGTAGTTCTGCCGGCACACTTGTATCTTTGTCGCCTAGTGGAGATGAATCGGCGGAGTTTTCACAGGAAGGGGGCCTTGTGCGTGGGCCTGATGCCTTCCTTTCGGGTGGTTGAGCCACAGGCACCTTGAAATATTCGACTTTCGGACGCTCATGGGCTGTTTTCCCGTCCATCTGCACAGCTTTCCCATTGGCCTTTTCTTGCTGCGTACGATGCGCAGCGAGATGTGATTCTTTCTTGGGAGAGTACCCTTTTGAAAGCGTCGCACCTCTGTTGCTTCCATTTTCCTTGCCTTTCTGGCCAGTTTGCTCTTTCGCAATGGCAACCTTGCCGGTTCCACCACCTCCATTCCCCCTTTTGGCGGGGGCAGAGCCAGAAGAATTCGGCTGCTCTAGTATCTTGTAAGTCTTACCCGAGGGGCCCCTTCCAGAGGGGGCCCCTGAAGGGCCCCCGGTGCCGCTGACTCTTGGGCTGACAAGCGGCATATGCGGAACGGTGTAGTGCGTTGCCTTCTGAAAAAAACTCAAGAGCGATTCTTTGTGCTGGGCGCCTAGGGTACGTGGAATCCACGCCTGGGGGCCTGTTGATCCCTCTAGAATGCTCTAGGGGAGGGGAGCATGAAGGCAGCGAGGGAGGGAAAGATGCATGCTATGTGGGAGGGGAGGCGTCGTCTAGGATCGAAGGCATCAGGCGAGACCGCAGTGCAAGAATGGCTTGGGCTAGGGGAAGATGGAGCTGGAAGAAGAAAGCGCAGATGTGCTGCCACAAGAAAAAGCTGGAGAGAGAACATCAGGTGTTACAGTTTCGTGTGCAAGGTATACATGTGTATATATAGATGCACGCATACATATGTGGATTCCTAAAAGTTCTTTTGCTCTTTGAGATACGGAATGTAAGATAAGGCGAAAAAGTAGGTGTTAGGATGAAGTTGATGAAGGCGACGAATTGCAAGATAAGGAAAAGCTCATGCGGTGGCCCATTCGTTGTACACATATGGCATGCCAAGCCAAGAACAGCACCTCATTTCCCTCTTCTCCATTGCCTCTTTCCGCATGTTTTGTGTGTTGTAGCTAAGGGTTCTTATGACGTTGCTGGTGCAGGTGTTACGCGTGCTCTTCGCGTTGCATGCGCATTGCGTTTTCGCTGCCCCAGTGCACCTTTTTTCTTCTGTTCTTGCGTTCCGTACTAGCAAATTAGCTTTGTTAGCAGGGCAAGTAGGCTGGAGATATGGTTTTCAATGGAGGACGCCTCCTGTCTCTCTGTTGACTCGTGGAGAGGCAGCGGCGATCGCAGCAGCGATCAGCAAAAAAGGAGAGATGCAAGGGAACACATTCCGTGAAAAGCAAATGGCATAGAGGTAGTTTATCACTTTGGGGCCAGGATGTAGGGCCAAGAGAAAATGTGAGGTTTGACACGAGTCAGCCCTAAGCGGAAGGCGCAGCGAGGGTCGATGCTAGCCGAACGAGAGGAAGCAGCGAGCAGAAGGCGCAAATTTAGGGAGGAGATGGATCAAGATCATGCCAGATTCAGAAAATAGGCTGCCCGACGCGTAGTAATATAAAGAATACTCAGTTCCTTACGCAGACAAGAAGAGAAGCATCAGGATGAATCGGCGCTGCATCAAGCGGGTAGCCAGGGAGCGTATTCGCCTGCTGTTCATTTCACAATGAATGGACACTTCGCCCCCCCAATGCACGAATTCGTTCGTTTTTCGGCTATTTCTTCGCCGGTAAGCGCATATACACGCAACGCGTAGCATTGAGACAAGGGATCGAACGCGCACGGCAGTTGGGCCTTGGCTGCAATACGGGAGCAGCCGACCCCCTCAGACCTCTCCTCGCCCCTCCAGCAGCAGCGGGAGCTAATACGCACCCATGTGCTTGCGCTTGTCTTTGAATATAACGCAAGCAGCTCCTTTGCACTTCTATGAGAGGTGCTTAGGCGACACCCTCCCTCCCCTCCCCCCTAATCTGCCCTTTCTGTGGGCCCCGAAAACCCTAACTTTGCATCCCTACTAGACCAAAGCCTAAAATGCGCTCGCGCAAGCCTCAGCAAGGCTGGCACCATAAGGGATGCCTCTCCGCCTTGCTGCAACTCCCGCAACAGACCACTCCGGAAGCCAAGCCTGCCACAACTTTTTGCAAGCCTACCCTCTCACTGAGTTCCCAATGACTAGGCCTCTCGCAGCGACCCTTTCTGAAGGAGGGCTGCTGCTGCCGAGAATTCCCCCAGATCTGCCTCCAAGTACTTGGGGAATTCCTTTCCCGAAAAAAGCACACCTCGGTCCCTACAGCCCCCGAGGGGGTCGAGGTGCAGTGTTGATCTCTGCCAGTCGGAAACTTTGCGTGTTTTTCCTGAGTCTGATAGGCTTCGTTGTGGTGCCGCAGGTGCTAGCGAATTCCTGGAGGCCCCACCCTCACCGATGCACAAATCTGCCCCCCGCCTTTGGCGCTGTGGCTTCATGGCCGTGCTCCTCTTTGAACGCACTCCCGCTACACTCTGCTGCATGCAGGAAGACGAGCGAGTGCGCTGCTCAAAAAGCAAGCGGCTACCCGAGAAAAAGCGCACTGGAGGACGGAGTCTTCTGCGATCTGCCTTGCCGCTTCTTACGTGCGCGAGGCAGTTCCCAGAAAATTCCCGGCGGGGCGAGTGGCTTCCAGCACTCCAGCCGAGTCACAGCCACATCCGACCACTCATTTTCCAGTCCTCCCCCACTCGATCCTGCAGTCGTGCCTGTGCTTGCACCTGCAGCGGACGGTGCAACGTCCACAGCGGCAGACATCGCGGCGCTAGACGCAGCGTCGGCAGCAGCGCTTACTGAGCTTCATCAGGAAGTGGACGCTTTGGAATCGTCCCCGGGCCCTTATGCAGTCGAGAGGGTAGTGACAGCACTTCGAATACTGCAAGAACTCACCCTCAAGCTCCAACAGGAGGGAGGGCGGCGTGCTGTCTCCAAGTGTCTCCTCACTGAGTTTCAACGGCTTCTGCTACGCCTGACGGGCCTCTTTCGGCTATGGGAGGAGGAGATTGTGCACCAAGGGGAGACTCCTCAGGAACCTCCCTCCAACAGAGATTCTTCTGGCGTGCGCGAGGCCTCGCCGAGCAATTTGCACCTTGTGCTCCTCCGCATCACATGGCATGTCGCGAGTGCTTATCTGGAGGCAGCGATGCAGCTGCAAGAGCAGCAACAGCAACAGCAGCGACTGCTGCAGCTGCTGTTGGAAAGGCATGCGGGAGATCCCAGCCTCGCGATGCTGCTGGCGGAGGATCTGGTATTGCTGCAGCGGCAGCGCAGCACCTTTCTTTCTTCTTTTGCTGCTCGCGTTGCCGTTGCAACGAGCAGAGCGGCAGAGGCGCATCGGATGCAGCCGATTCCACTGCCCCAAGATCTCGAACTGCACTTGCAGCGGCTCCAACAGCTGCAACAACATGCACGCTGGGATGCGGTCCGTTGGCTGGAGACTCACGGAGTGTCCACCGATGAAGCCCAAGCAGTCGCTGCTGCACTGCTGCAACAAGGCGTGCAAGCAGAAGCAGTCTGCCGAGTCGTCACCTCCCTACTGTGCCTCGAGAAGACGCAGCAACGAAGTTCCTGCTGGGCGGAGGGCCCCTCTTTGTCTGCCCCCCACTTCGGCGTGCATGCGGGAGCCATAGAGGAGACACAAGCGAACAAGGCTGGACAGGCCTGCTATTTAGGGAAGGCGATACACTTACTTTTAGCTCGTGCCTTTGCGGATGAAGGGAGCAGCGCAGCGGCTCATTCGCAGCTGCTGCTTGCACACACAAGCCTGTCTACCGCGCTGCAGCAGTCCAATTATACGGCCCCATGGGAAGAAGAGGACTCTTTGTCGGTGGGGGGGCAGCGTGAGACTGTTGCTGCAGCACTCGCGGTTGCTGTTGCATCCATGAAGGACGGAGAGGTGTGTTCGCTGTTGCCACTGCTGCTCCGGATGTTGCTGCTGATACTGTTGACGTCGTTGCTGTTTTTAATTGGATTTCGGCTATTTGTGTTGTCGCTGGTGCTGTTACTGCTAGTGCTGCTGTGGCGCGAGCAGCAAGAGTGTCGCTTCTTCTGCTCTTGGGGTGTATGTACAGCTGGAGAAGGCCTCGGACGCGCTGCGTTTGCTTCCCTCTCGTGTCGCTTTGCGCTTCTCCTCTGCGGTGCTGCCGGTAGCTCTAGAGCTTTCACGGCGCCTCTTATTCCGTGGGAGGCAGCTAGATGCCCCTCCTGACATCTCGGTGGCCTCTGGAAGTTTCCAAGGGGCCCCCCTTGAGGCAATCTTTACTCAGCAATTTGAGCACGTCTTGTCGACGGTGGGGGCGGCTCTGCTACAGGGGGAGAAATGTGAAGAAGTGGCAGCAGAGGCAGTGGAGCTGAGCGAGCTGATAATGGCCATCTGGCACCCATCGACAGCTAGTGGTCAACTTTCCGTTGCTGTCTCTAAGTTTCTGAATATTGTGACGAGGCACTTGAAAGGGCTGCTCTCTCCCAGCCCTACTTGCGTCCCAATACTTTCCCTACACCAGGAGCGGCTCCTCACTGCTACAGCAAAGACCCTCTATGGGGGCATGCGAGAGCACCAGACGCAAGGGGGAGAGTTGCTTTCTCTGGTTGAAGCAGCAGATAGAGGGCATGAGGGAGAAGAAGCAGGAGGCTCGAAGGTGGAAGGAGGAGAGCTAGGAAGGGAAGGGACTAGACTCTGGCACCATGCTCTTGCTGCTGCCTTTCAAGGTCTTGCTGCTGCGGCGCAGCGGCTCTTACGGCAAGCCAAAGCAATGAAGGCAGACGCAGCAGGGGCCCTTGCGGATATAACAGCAACAGAGGCAGCACATGCAGCGGATTCAGGGGCAGGCGGAGACTCTTCTGCGGCAGCAGCGATTCTATCGACAGAAGCAGGCAGACTTGTCGGCCTTGTGCATTCGCTGCAGGCCCTTTCCCGAAATGCAGCCGTTCCCATCGGTATCGAGGAGACTATTGCAATAGGGAGAGTCTTGCATGCAGCATCTCTTTTGGGGGTTGTGCCAGAGGAGAAACTTGTTCCTGTGTCCCCACTCCTAGTGCCGGCTGCGTCATCTCTACAGCTTCATAGGCGAGGCATAGGTACCACCACGGCATCACAGCGGCAGCAGCAGCATATTAGGCAACCAGCGGGCGTCATTGAAAGGAGCGAGGAGCTTCTGGCTCTTTTGCGGCGACAGCAGCAAATGGGGAATGCAGAGGCAGCTCTTATGCTGCTGAGGAGGCAAACTGCTCTTGCTGAAGCAGCAGAGACTCTATTGGATAATGTTGGGACTACTCGCGGCGGAGTAGACAGAGAAGGGCGTACTGAAGAAGGCGGAGAGAACGTCAGACGTGAATGGGGTGACAAGAGTGCGCGGCTCTTGAACTTTTTCGCCGCAAAGCCCACACCAGATTGTTTCTACTTTGCAGCAGCCGCAGCAGCCGCCGCTGCTAGGCCAGACCTTGCCTTTGAGTGAGCTCAGAAGCGATTCTCACTCTGCCCCAAGAATCTAAGAGTGTATCTTTCCTTCCTCTCTCCGTCGGAGCATGCCTCTCGCTGCATTGCTGTTCGTCTTCACACTCGCAGGAATGTGCTTTTTAAATACTAATTTTTTTAAAATACTGGAATGTGCCCGCAGGGTCCTGACACTCGAGAACAAGGCTGTTGGGGCCACCTCCACGCGCACGAGCAATGCCGCGATAAAGGCCTGCGTTGCAGTTCTCTCCGAAGCATCCACAAAGCCCTTGCCGTTGGTCCACGCTTCTAGCTCTGCATTATCTCACAGAGTGCCTTTTGTAGCTCCATCTGGCAGCCGTCTTGCAGGCTGCTTTGCATCCCCACCAGCCCCGGATCTCATCGCTCCCTCAGCTCCCACTGACCCTGCTTTTCTTAGTACCTCTGCTTCTTGCCAATCCGTTGAGGAGCTGCAGCGAGTTGCCACCGCCGGCTTTGGGGTGTACACCCAGCTGCGTGCGAGGGGGCCCTACCCAAATTACAAAACTTTCCTCTTGACTGCTCGGCTTCTCTCGTCATTTACTGCTGCTGCTGTTGCTGCTGCACCCTTTGCTGCTGAGGCACGGACAGGGAGCATTTCGTTGCTTCGTTCTCCAGCAGACGCAGCAGAGGCAGCAATGGCTCTAGCAGCAGAATATGCGGCTTCACTGCTGACGGGACCTATTCGCGCAAAGGCACTGCATCAGGCACGAGTGCAGCAGCAGCAGCAGCATCAAGGAGATCTGCAACAAGGATGTATTCAGCAGCAGCAGCATCAAGGGGATCGGCAACAAGGATGTATTCAGCAGCAACAGCAGCAAGGAGATCGGCAACAAGGATGTATTCAGCAGCAACAGCAGCAAGGGGATCTGCAACAAGGATGTATTCAGCAGCAACTCCAACAGACGAAGGAGCAGATCCTACGACAGTATACTCCTTGGGTACACGGAGAGGCCATGAGGACTTCCCTTCTGCAGCAGGACTATGCTGGTGCCCTTAACATGTTCGAGGCATTGCTGCGGCTGCGGAGGCAGCTCCACAGGGATTTAAGCCAACTCTTGCTCCAGGAGCAACCTTCCCAGCAGCATCAGGAGCTGCTTAGGCAGCGAGAATATGGTCGTGTTTTGCTTCCTCCCTTGCCATGTGGCGTGTTGGATGTTGCTTTGCGAGCACTGGAAAGCTCACTGCTGGCGGGGCAGCCCCCAGTTTGGGCCTCTCCGTCTCCTGCTTCTGTCCCTTACTTCTCCAGTCACTTCAGGCCGAGGAGGCAGCTAGCTCAGCTAGCCAACGGGAACATAGCTTCGGCAGCGATACTCGAAAGATACCTGAGGGTCCAGGATGCGCCCTCCGTTCGCTCTCCTACTGGAACTGCATCGACTGTAAGGCAATGACTTCTTGGGTGGGGTTGCAGGGGGAGTTGGATTTCGCCTAAGTATTTAATGCTATAGAGGGCCCCTTTTTTATTCGCAAGCTCCTTGACGAAATTTTTGTTCCTACGGCATGGGAGCTTACTTAAGACTCACCATGATGCGTAGCCAAGGGGATCCAGAGCACTTTTTTTCCGCCATCCGGTTCTGCAGCCACTAACTTTCTAGCCCTGCACAGAGTAACTGCAGCAGTAGCAGCGTCAGTTTCGTGCTCGAGCAAGGAAGGGGTTGGATGTGTACTGAGGCAGACCAGACAAACACTGTCGAGGTTCTTTTGCCATTTGTTTGTTGTTGCCGCTGCATTTACCATGTCCTACAGGTGACCGCTGATGGCACTGGAGCAAACCTTAGTGCTATTGCGCATGCAAAGATGCGACTGGTAAGCCCTAAATGCGAGAGACCCCCACGGCATCCCAGAGAGGCTCTTAAAGGTAGACAAACGAAGGGCAGGTACAGATCCCTCTCCCTTCATCGGTAGGGAAACGCGCGTGCATTGCACGACAAGCAGCAATATCTCGAGCTACACTACCAGCAAGGACCAATAACAGATATAGGAGCGGTAGCAGAGGTAGGAGAAACAGAGGAGGCACCAGCTGTAGCATTGCCCTCCTTGTCTACCTAAAGGCACATCTGCCTATCAAAAGTTTCTGTTGGTGCAGGCCAACGCAAAGTCTCCAGAAGCTTGGTGCGCGGAGTACGAGGAGCTGCAGAAAGCTCACAAACTGTGGGTAAGTGTGTGTTGAGGCATGCACGCACAAAACGGCCAGAAACGCAAACTCTGAATCATCGAACTCCATGGTTGCTTCCCTCTGATTTGCAGAGAGGGGATGAAGAGCATATCGCGAAGCTGCTCGCTAGGCGTTTTGGGGGGATTGAAGCTCTGAAGATCGTTCACCGACAACTACAGGGGCAAAAACACCAGCCAGAGCGCCAACAAGTGCAGGAGGAGGAGCACCACGAACAGCAGTGGAGCTTCCACGAGTCCCCACTCAACTCTCTTCACGGTAACATGCGTGAAACCCTACGCATACCTTTGTACGTTTGGTCAGCGGCTTTGGAGTCAGAGATATTGCGGGGGGCCGTTGACGGTGTCCAAGCTATTCTTGATCTACTAACGGCAGTGAGTGACTCCTTCGGTTTCCCATTCCTTGTATCAAGCTGCTGGTGCGGCTGCAGGTTTCTGTGGTTTGTGGGCTTGCTTTTGTGTGAGGTGCAATATGAGGTGTTTGCCTTTCGTATGGCGTTGCTTCTGTTGAGTGAAGCTAGCACACACCAAATGGGTCCAGCCTTCTTACAGAGCGAACTCAGCATCCGTATTTCATTACAGGCCTGAGTTACGAAAGTGTTTGGAACAGTAGCTGCAACGACATATTTGTGAATACTGCATCTACAGGTGAGGAGTGGATTGCCAAACTCTGGTGTTACTGTTTAATTGCGGTATACGTGCAGACATCCGAGTTGAACCCCTCGATACCCCGGCAAATCCTTCTGCCCTTCCCACGTTGTCTGTCTATACTCGTACTCCTGGGGAGGACCGGCTATGCACGCGCTGCTCTCAACCTCTTCCGATGGTGGATCTCTCAGTGGAGATCTGATGGAAGAAGACAGTTGGAAATTAAGGAAACTTCAAGTGTCCATACACCCAAGCCCTTTTGGACGCGAACACAAAAGAGAGTTAGCCATGCAGCAAGACTCCTTGAAACCACCGTCAGAGCAGCTGCTGCTGCAGGTAACACAAACCCTAATAATAGTGTGTTGTCAGGCAGGTCGTAGGAATGCAACTTTTTTCGGAGACGACAAGAGACTCACATGAAGCTCTCCTCTGGTGTCTCCGCAAGGAAGCACTTTGTTCGCAAATTCATGTGTAAAACTATCTACTCCAAGCGCATGTGCAATTTACGTTCCTGTTTCTGCATTTGTACATAATCAAGTGTTTGCTCGTGACTTTCTAAACTTTGCACGACTGCTGATAGAGGAACGTGCATTGGATGTCCATGCAGGTCGCTGGGATTTGTCTCTCGATGCTGTAGAGCTCTTTCTGAATGCTCGCAAGGATCTGCTTCCTAAGGAGAAATTAGGCCATGCGGATTTGGGCCCACGAAGTCTCCGTTTGCATACCTTCCATGCTTCTATCAGCCGTGTGTTGCATCTGCTGGCCAGTCATCTCGCCACATACTCTCTAGCAGCCAGTCAGAGGCTGCAGGGGGCCCTTGCTGGGTTTGACAAAGCTTGCAAGAGTTGGTGTGCCTCCTGTGGGGACACCCACAATAATACCTCCCTAAATCCCGTGTCACTTGAGAGGCTATTGGAGGAGGAGACGGTGTTCGTGACTCTGGAGCGAGAGCTTTGTAAATTTAGGAAGACGATCTCAGATGGAATCACGCAGAAGACTGCTGCTGCATCTGCAGAGAGAGTGAAGGCACCGGAAGCAACATTGTTCCTGAAATAAAGCATTAGCAGCAGGAACACTGGTCTAAGGAGTCTGATGATGCCATTGGCGGGTCACGTGGCTCCATTGTTGACCCTTTTTAATTTTTTTTGTCTACGCCAGAAACTCCACAGGCCTAACCCCTGTTTGCGTGCGCTTGCTACACGCTGGAGAGTGCGGCTCGCCTCAGGGCGCCCTCTTAGGTACGGAGAATTTCCACTGGAAGATTTTTGTCAAGACGAAAGTCTAAACGCTCGCTTAGCCTAGAGAAACACCCAAGATGCAAGCAGATGGCCCTCGCTTTTAGGGGCTGCACAGGAAAGTAAAGCTTAAACAAGGCGTTGAGAAGTAAACCACCAAAGCAGCTGGCGGCCAGCGGGCGAATATAGCATTGAAGATTCAGAAAATTTATTGGTTCCTGCTATGCTACCAAGAACACTATGAGGGAAGAAAAGTTTGCACGTATTAAGGGACAGGGACAGGAGCCTGAGACGCAAAGGAGCGGCACCGTGTATGGGCTAATAAAAGCAGCAGCGACAACACCACTAACGGCGCCACAGCAATTGCTGCTACTTCATCAAGTGTAGAACCTTCAGGATGAATAGGTGCAGGAAAACTCTTGCAGGAGAAGCAGCAAGCACCAGGAAGGGCTTTGCTATGGATGCTTATGAATGGAAGTAGGCGCTCTGAAGTCTCCTTAGCAGTAGCAGTGGCTGTTGCTCTGTGGCAACAGAATCCCAGCAGCTGCCCCCCTCTGCTGAATCTTTGGCTTGATGTCTCATGAATTAGCTGGATCCAAAGTACAAGGGGACAAAGCGCTAGTGGCTCTCACCCTTGAAATCTTGATTTGTCTTAACTAAACAGACACTCGCGAGCGTCTCAGCTCTTGCAGCAAGCAAAACATTTGCGGTGACAGGTGTATTGGGCTAAGCCAAAAGCGCTTAGACACTTTGTACTGCTCTACACATTTTCGGGTAAGAACTACCAAAGAATTGACTAGTTATTTTGCTGGACTGTTTCATGTTTACTGCTTAGTGTTCTCATACTAATACGAAAAAACACGACGCTTGTGCGTGCAGTAGCTGAGTGTGCTTGCCGCATTCATAGGGTGTGGCTACGCTCCGCCTGTCTGGCCCTCTCTGATGTTGAAACCTATGAGCGGTACAGGCAGGAGAAAGCAAAATTCTTCTTGTAAAACACTCAGTCAATGTATACTTAGTTCTTAAGAAGTGTGGACTGTAGTATCGCCTTACAAAGACATTGGAGAGAGGGGCACAGCTCAGAATACCACATGGCTCAATGCAGTTGTTACCCACGCATCTCCTCGTTGTAAAAGCAAGGGGGATGTCAGGTTTTTCTCTTACAGTTGTCCTGTGTTCTTATCAACTCGAAAATTTGTTGATGGCAACATTCTGGGGGTAATGCTCCGTAGCAGTGGAGGTTAACGTTGGCGCTAAGCCTGCTAGGGCGGCAGAGACCAGCCTGTGGTGGTAGAAAAGCAGAAGCTACCCGCAGTCAAAATGTTTATATATTCGTCGATGAGTTTATGCAGACCAGACAACTTTGACGGCACTAAGGATAGGCGCGTATTCAAAGATCAAATCAGTCTGTTAGAGGTGTATCTCACTTTTATGCCCAGATGAGAAGGAGGAGTGCTCTTTGCGTCAGTTTTATTGAAAAATAAAAGCACTTCAATGGTTGCTTTATTCATGCGGAGGCAGTTGTCTGCTTGCAGGTAGCGTTAGGGCTCAAGCCTTTAAATAAGTCCTGGCTCATCCGTTCATGCCGAAATCAGCTCAACAACAAGCTTTGACAAAATCAAGAAAGGTGGAACAGGAAAATCCTGAGTAGACCCATACATTCAGATATTCGAAACTTTAGTTCGCAAAAGCCAAAACGAGACAAACTGCTGCCCTATCAGTCGCTTATTTCAAGAATACTAGAAATGCCGCTTCAGCTGATCGCAGATCGAACACTGGCTCAGCAATTAAAAACCAACCGATAATGCTTCTACAAATGATGGACTACTTAAGGTTACAGGAAGAAAACAGCCAAACACCTGGATGCTGTGTCCTACAATTATGATATGAAAATTTATGCAAAAAACGGAAGAACATGATCAACAAGATTGGGCCGAGCTGAAGCAGCCTGCTTGGCGAGCGAAGAAGGCGCATACGGGAAACGGCAGTCCCCCATTTTAGGCCGTGGGTCAGCTAAAGGGGCAGCACAGGACAGCGCTGCACTTACGAACCAACCAGGGTACCATTGTCCGCTGATGCATGCTTACCTTCACTGTCAAGATGTGCTAACGCTGCTTGACAGTGGGCAAGAGGTGGATGTTTATAATCTCAGGACACCGTGGAGTACTGTATTGTACCTGTTCACTTGTTACGCAGTCCCTGAGCTGAGGTTTGTTGATGGGCATGAAAACGCCAGGATTGTCATGGCTAGGGCAGGTATATGGCACTTTAGTTTAAAATAGCGTCCTACTATCATAGGTCGTGACTTTCACGTGGGCTTGTGCACCAGTAGATAATACTAGGTTTGCCATGTCACACCCAATGAAAAACGCCCACGCCGCCACAGCCGCGCGGTATGGCGGTTAGCGTGCCGGGAAGTGCTAGATATAAGCACACATTAGTTTCTTCAAGAGCTCTTATATCATAAATGGTACGCGGGGTGCAGTAGGTACCTGAGAATGGTGAAGCAGAGTCTTCATGTGAGCGGTTGAGCTGGGCAGTGAGAGAAAGCGGTTCTGAGCGTGCGGCCCTTAATAGCTCTGATTCTGCTTCTTAAAAAGGTGATTATATTGCCATTTCAGCAAAGGGCCATGCGGGATAAGCAAAGATCAGGGAGGAGGTGGCGAATGTGTTAAACAATGACAAGCTAACAGCAGGCAATCCACTCGCTGGTCGTCCAGCGCATCGTACTGAGCTTATCCCCTGGCTAGCCCCAAACCATGATGCGAAGTGTTGGAAGCTTTCACAGCACTAATAGGTGAGTAATGGTCTGTTGGAGGTTTTCGTAAAAAGGCAGGGAGTAGAAAAGGACCAGCGCTTTCAATCATAACTCATTGTTGGTGGCGGAAAAAGGACGGCGGTTGTCGCAGAGCATACACGTTCACATTGAGCCCCCCGGCAAAAAACCTGGAAAAGTGGTGTTTCCTGGTGCCTCATGCTGGGAAATCAGCTGGCACATTACACGAGTCAACAGCCTACACGGTTTTGGGCTCCACACAGGCCTTCTGACACTTGACGAAAGGCATTGATCAGCACTCCACACTTGCATTCGCAACAAGTATACCTGTATGCCTCTTAAACTTGTTAATACTCCATCTGAGCGGCAGCCTCAAATTAGTAGGGATTTTAATGAGCTGCTCAAGCAGGACTGAACCAATACCTACAGAGAGGACGTTTGGTGTTCAATCGAAGCGCTCAAGAGCAACAACAGCACTTCGGGAGCGCTTCAGCTATTGCGGGAGAGGCTGGGGGAAATGAGAAGGAACGTGAGTGCTCGGTTTTCAGAAGAGCGGCTATGTTCGTGAGTGCCGGCAAAATACTTGAAGCAAACAAGGCGTGGCCTCTACCCTTACCCACCCGGAAAGACGTTCAGAAGTTCTATTGGCATGCATCTTATTGACGGAATCTCACTCACACACTTCTTCAGCTCGCTGCTTCTTTGACTGCTCTTCTTGGGAAAACAGTTTGTGACCTGAGAAAAGGAAGACTTGACGCTCATAATTGGGCAGCTTATGCACCGGAGAACTTGTACTGCGGTTGCTGTCCGATCACATGGGCAATTTTCCCAGCTAGCATCGTTTTTGACGTAGCGGTGGGCGCTATTCCTTTCCAACGGGCTAGGGCTGGACACAGCATCAACCTGCTGCCTTTTCTTTTGTTCTATTTGCCAGAACCGAGCAGCGGTATTTAACGCGGGAAAAGGAATTACACGCGATGTGGTAGGCAGTGAAAACACCAGCACCATATATATGAAAGCCCATTTTCCATTTAGACCAACTCTCCTTATTTTTATACACCTTGCGAAATTCCCCAGATTTTTCGTAGTGCTATAGTTGCTCACCGGCCCGGGCGCCTCATGTGGTAAGCCCTTCAAATGATATATGAAACGACATCACCAGCATGGTCGCTTAGTCGCTCACGCACGACGCCCCAACAGTTAGGCAGCGTGCAGCAGCACAAGCACTCTTGACTTTGATGAAAAACGACTTCTGTTGAACTTGCTCACAATGTATGCTTTCGACATCTTTTCGTCCACTCTTACTGCCAGCATCCAGGCTGCCAACCGGCTGAAGCACTTTAAAGCTGAGTTCTGACCTGCTTTAGCTCAAAACAAAGCAAAATCCCGTAGCTTGTGCATCCCGACTTCACTATGCAGTGCCGGTTAGCATAAAGCACGTAATCGAGCTTTTGGAGCCATGTTCGAATGCACACTATAGTGGAGATGCTCGCACGGTCCTTCTGGTGGCCTGGGTGCGTGCAGTGGCAGTGGAGAATGGAGATTAATTTTCAGCGTTTCAGCGGTCCAGCCGCACAAGTACCCCAAATTAGGCCTTCGGCAAAGCCACGAGTTCTTGAAAAGACTTGGAATGATCCGAATGTGGACATTCTTGCTGGACAATCTGCTGTAGGGGGCTACAATACCAGCTTCGCCTTCGCTGACGGACTCTGCAAATATGCCCATTTCATGATCCCTTGCTCCAACTGTTTCATGGCTCGAGAAGTTACTCACTTATTCTAAAGCTCCTGTTTGGATGCTTCATGGATTACTGAGCAGAATCTGTATGGTTAGGGATCCAAATATCGTTGGTGTGTTACAGTGCGCTTGTAACACATTGACCGTAAAGTAACCACTGCGAACAGCCTTGAGGCAACCGGGCGGACAGAGGCCGACAGCCGCAATCTTCTGCAGTATTTGTGAGTCAATGCTTGCCCAAATTCAGTTAACTAGCCTAATTTGCGTTCTTCTGCTAAGTGGGTTTACAATACAACACATACTCGTTCATCCATTTCTCTCCTGCATCCCTCGCCTGTTTCGAGGGGCACTTCTGCACTTCACGCTTGGATCTGATGATTCAAGGTCATCAACTAGAACAGAAGGACTCAGAAAATATCGGGTGGTCTCACATGGCAATGCCCGAAAAATGGTAGGACGGAATTATGATAGCCGACAGTCAGTTGTGTGTTTTGAGCCTAGTGTCTTAGTACTAGTGGACTGGCACACGTTTTTCGAAGTGCACCAGACGGCTACCAAAACGAAGTAGCTTGCGGCCAGGTGAATGGATTCTTCTGCAAATGTTTCACAAATCGATGCCCTCTCGCATGTGAGGACTTCTTCAAAAGTCGGAGGTGGCACAGAACTATCAAAATTGACTTTCAAGAGAAATTTCGAGAATTCTCGAGCTTTCCCGGCACATTTTAGTACAGGAAAGTAACCTGCGGTGAGGTAGATGGTCCACATGGAGCAGTAGAAGTGCTGGATTTTAAGACCACAGAACGTTGAAGACACAAAAGACGAGGCTTTCCGATGAATTCTGGTAGGGAACACCAGTTCCGGTGACTGACGAAAGCAATCGCTGCTCCTCTGCCTATGGGAGGATTGGTTGCTGTACTTGGTTCGCAGTACTGATTCACATGCCGACCTCCCTCACATCCCTTAAATGCATTCCTTTCTCAGCAGGTGAGCGGCCTGAAACAGTTACCTTTATCAATTGCTTGAAATCTTCCCGTTCATGATAGCTTAGGTGCCCTCCACATCCAGCTTTGTGCGCAGGCAGTCTCGGACGTGTTGTCCCTACATTCTTTCTTTTGCCTCTATGGGGTCAGTGAAATCCAGTATGCTGCACGCAGCGGCTGTATTCGCATGCGGCCACTGTTCTTTTGGGAGCGTAGGCACTAATGAAGTAGCGTGGGATGCTTTTTGCACATTTTACTCATATTCTGTTTAGTCGTACCATGGGGGTTGCAGAATTTAGCGCTCCGACGACAGCGAGCTATCGTACCCCGAGTTCGTATTGGTTTGATGACTCGTCGTTGTTAGCTACTGTGTCTGCCTTGCTGCCCGTCGATTGCTCTTCCTGTTGCTGAATGCTTTGCTTTTTTCATTTTCACGATATCATCACTTTGCCTGCCTAGAGAAGAACAACATGGCAGGACCTTTCCGCCTTCCTGCATGCAGCATCTCTTGACATTCAAGAATAAAACTTGTGTCAGTGTGTTCTGCAGTTGGGAGGGGCAGGATCAAGTGCGCCCAGAACGTAAATACTTTCTAATGCACAATATACATCAACGAAGAATTAGTAAAGAGTTAACTGGTTGGTTTGTTTCTTTGTATATCCTATTTATTGCAAAGAACTGTTAACTCGATACAAGTGGGCGCAGTGTTGTGTGCCTGTGCGCTAGATGGGGTTTGAAACTAGCTATGAATTTATAGGCCACTTAGGGTGCACGTACTGGCATCCTAACTTTCCCAGTCCCGTCATATTGGGAACTTTGGGGGATGCGGGCAGGTAAACAAGGGAGGCCTTCCAGAATTTACAGTAACTTTCTATGAAGTTTTTGTTGAGTGTGGAGTCAAGTTTTTCCCTCGGGAGAGACTTGGTGGATTGTATATTAAGTCACATAGCAAAAGGAAGAAAAATACGCCAATCAACTGGGTTTGTGTAGGCAAATAGTCTCAACCACTGCAGAAGAATGCAGTTGCTTCCATGCGCAATTGTTGTAGAGAAACCTTATATCCCCGTGCTTTCCCAGCGAGTGGATGAGGGGGGTAAAAGCTGCATGGAACCATGGTGTGTTACCAGTTGTTACGCATTTCCAATGCTGCGGGCAGACATTACAGTACAGACTTTGTACACAATTGATAGACCATTATTGAGCGTTTTCAAGCACCCCCTGATTCCTCTCTCCATAACCCCTAGAGTTCCCGGCATGAGAAAAGTGGCACACATAGGGTGGGTATACCTGCACCCTTTAAGTACTCCCAATATCCACAGCTAATTCCACACGCCACCTACTGAACAAGTGGACCACATGACAACTGTATTAAGATCGATCTGATAGTACTTTAGATGAATAAGATATACCAACAGACCAGTTAGTCAATTCTTCCGTATTTTCTACTCTAGAGTAACTAATGCTGTAGAAAGTGTTCAACTGCAGAGTAGCCTGCTACAATTGCCGCACCGCCGGCAAGGCCCCCACAGTCTGGTTCTCCGCCCATGCTACTCCCACTTGGTGGCGAGCGGGGCTTGTTTAGAGAGAGACAACGACTCTTTGTGTTTCACCTGATGATCGATAAACACGAAAATAATTGTTCTGGTTTGGTGATGGACGCTTCGAACGAATAATCTGGAGGGTGGTATAGCCTGCAGAAATGCTCTGCAAATGCGCCTTCTGCTTGTAAAAGAACTGATGATACCCCACATTGATCATCGATTTAAAGAGACAGAAGAAGCTGCCCTAGACAGAGACATAGGTGACAGCGGAGCTTTCTAAATAGCTCAACGTCACCGGCAGCGGGGGGCCTGTTGCGTCTTTTGACGGGGCCTGGGCATAATGGGAGCCACCGCATGCCGAAGCTGGCATTAGACTCCTCATTACTTCAAAATTATGCTCAGATACACTAATGATCTTTGATTGTTTGGTGCTGCATGCGTGCAATCACCGCTTCCACCCCTTGTCGGGTGCATGAATGCACAGTGCGCTAGTTCACAGAGCGTGTTGCCTTCCCGCAGCACACCGCCGCATACATTTTTATGTTGTATCACACCTCTAAAGTGTAGCAAAGGCTGAGCCTCTGTCTTCTCCGCTTTAGTTGCTGTGTGCGACAAGTTGACGACAGGGCTGGCGGGGGCTGCGTGTGCAATAGTTTCTGAGGCGCTCATTTGTGGCTCTCCGACATCTTCTCTAACCTCAGGTTTCAGGGCTCTTATGCGGCTGCGTCTCATCATCGTCCGTACCTCCCCCGGTCGCCACTCCGATGTTGCGTGTATTGTGGGAGTGCACTTGCCACGCAACATGCCCGGGCGATTTGCTGATGGTGGTGGGGGCACATGAGCGGATTGGTTCATGGGACCCCCAGAAAGCAGTCATACTCACAACAGACGCCGTATTATTCCCTCTATGGCGTACTGAGGAGATCGAGTTTGACCAGCCGCTAACAATTGAGTACAAGTTCATTATCAGAAGAGCAAACGGAAGTGTGGAATGGGAGGAATTTAGTTCGAACAGGACAGCCGAATTGAGGGCCGACACTGTTTCTCACATCCAGAATGTTTGGGGCTCTCTGGCTACTGCATCAATAACCTGCTTTCCCCTCCATCAAGAGTCAGATATATCCACAGAGGCACGGGGTGTATTTACAGTGTCCCCCCCTACCGCAGGCGATTCTCCCGGATCCGGCGATTTCAAATCTATTTTGGAGATCCAGTCCTCGCGGTGCGCGTCTCCTGGCTGGGTGTGTATCTCACCGCGGGGGGAGCTTGACGAATTACCAAATCCCAGGCCCAGCACCCCCTATTCGGAATCGTCTTCTTGTGTTGCTTCGCACCTCTCCACCGCAAGGACAGAGGCAGCGGACGAGGCAGGTGGAGGGGTTGTAAGGGCTCAGTTGAAACGTTCAGCATTCATTTTAGCGAATTCGGGGCCAATCTGCGACTACTATGTCATGGATCGAACAATCGGTAGGGCACTCATTTTTTTGCTAGGGATGCTCGTCTTTCTGAGATTCGTTGATCCGCTAAACTTCTGTATCAGCAACAGCTCTATCAGATACTCTGGCTTCTGCAAGTAGAAGAGTTAGAGCACGACGGAAGTTGACAACACCGTAGCCTTTCGTATTTTGTTTGTTCCTTGGGGCGGTCAGCTGCGCAGCAGTGGCCAGCTGGTGGCTCCTTGGGTCTGCTGCGGCCGTCTGGAGAGGGGAGGCATAAGGATCACGTGTTTATTAAATCGATGAACTTCGGGCCGTATTTTGCTCCGGCTGCTAGTTGTTGACGCTTGGTGCTTTCTGACTTTTAGACATCTACGGATTTGTCTACCTCCCATTTGTGCTTCTGAATTTTTCCTGTTTCTGCCGTCGTGTGCGGGCGCAGGCCGAGGCACATGGGGAGAAGTTAAGTTGGTGATAGACAAGCAAACGAAAGCGCGCCGAGCGGCTAAGAAGATCCCTAAATGCTACATTGAGGATGTTGATAGGTTCCGGCAAGAAATAGACATCATGAAATCTTTGGATCATCCAAACATTGTTCGCTTATTTGAAACATTTGAGGACTTGACAGACTTCTACCTGGTCATGGAGTATTGCAGCGGGGGCGAGCTGTTTGATCGCTTGATCGATTCAGGGGTGCTTACCGAGAGCATGGCCTGCACCATCATGAAGCAGATTCTTGCCGCAGTTGCGTATTGCCACATGCATCGAGTTGCGCACAGGGATCTCAAACCGGAAAACTTTCTCTTCCTCACAGACCAACCAAACTCGCCCATGAAACTCATTGACTTTGGACTTGCTGCGAGATTCAAACCGGGGCAACCCATGAGAACAAGAGCTGGCACTCCGTATTACGTCTCTCCTCAGGTAGATATGCTGGTGTCTGCTTAACCCTGTTTACCAAGAGATACTTAGCAAAAGCAAAAGCTTGTACTCTGCTTGCATCTCCAAAATGGCCATTTCCATCATCTATCCTGGCGTTGTGGTGCCAATGAACTGGAGTCGCGGAGGAGTGCGTGTTTTCTTCAGGTTCTGGAAGGACGCTATGGTCCAGAATGCGACATTTGGTCTGCTGGAGTGATGATGTATATTTTGCTATGCGGCTATCCTCCGTTCAACGCTCCATCGGACAGGGGGATTATGAACAAAGTGCGAACAGGACACTACACCTTCCCTGACGCAGAATGGGGCAAAGTGTCGCTGCAGGCAAAAGATCTCATTTCAAGGCTACTAGATCGACATCCGAGGACGAGAATCAGCGCAGAGCAAGCCATTAGACACCAATGGTTCAACATGCACATGCCAGATAGTCTCGACACGGAGCCGCTCGGTGAGTTGCACTGAAGCAGAGAAGTTGAAACACCTGACAGTCAGGCGTTTTCCTACACACGTTGCTTCTCGTAGGCATTGCAGTAAGAGAAGTAGACTAATAGATTTAGAAAAACGTTAAAAAGAAATGTGATTGAGGTGTCTGTCTCACCTTCTACTTGATAATTACACAGCAACTGGTGCGTGTTGGGGCGTCTGAACCCCAGGGAAAGATCTGCATTTACGTCATGCTAGGGTATACTGAATAGGTTCCTAGAATTTAGGTGCGTGCACCTTTTCATCCGGTGATTTTTGACGATTCAGGGATCGATATTCTGAGTAAATTTCGTCGTTTTCAAAGTCTGAGTCGCCTGAAGAAGTTGGCGCTAACTGTAATTGCTCAGCACTTGGACGATTCGGAGATAGAGAGCCTCAAGGCTGTGTTTACTCAGTTAGACACCCAGGGCGACGGTGTACTCTCCATAGACGAAGTGCGGGAGGGGATTGCAAGAAGCGGGGTGCGGCTGCCGTCGGATATGGTACTTGAGGAGGTTCTTAAGGAGGTGGACACTGCAGGAACGGGGTCTATAGACTACACCGAGTTTATTGCTGCCTGTCTGCATCAGTCCCACTATATACGAGAAGAGGCTTGCAGGGCGGCGTTTCGCGTGCTCGATATCAATGGTGACGGACACGTCAGGTACATGCCATCTGATGCCGCTGCCGCCGAATTTTAGTACTTGAAAAGCTTGCTTGGCGAATGCTCTGGTTCTTGCCTGGCAGACACACGACTGTAGGAATGCCTATTCTTAGTGCTGCAGGCTGAGTTTGTGCTTCTGTTCATTACATGCTGCCCTCGGAGTGCGAGTCCGCGTATTATTGTCATTTGCCATGCCTTTGCAGTGCGGAGGAGCTTAGGCAAGTGTTTCGCATGGCGGGGGATTTGGAGACCGATGCTACGGCCGAGTTGCATGAAGCGGACGCTGATGGAGATGGGATGATTAACTTTGAGGAGTTTTGCGGTTTAATGAGGAAAGTACCTTCTCTTGCACTTGTGACGGAGCACACGGTGTCTATGATGAGGAAAACATGCAGCCGCACTAATGTCTCAGAAATGACGTGCAAGAACTAAGTTTGTGGTGGGGTAGTGAACTTGTAGTTCTTCCCTGCGTTCATTCAACGGGGGCTAGAGGTGTACCTCTGCATATGCATAGCGTGTCTATACTGCACCATTGGTTTGCTGGCACCACTGAATCCTGCGTGCTGCAACTTCTACATATCCTCCTAAGTGTGTCTGGCAGGGCACGACCTGCCACTCAGAAGCACCACCTCTTTTAGCGTACTGTCGGAGGAGACTCCACGATCAATACAAGCTGCAGCAGTGTGTGCGCTGCCCATGGCAGTCCCTCTCTAACCTTTATCCCTATGTATATGCCCGATGCATTTACGCTCCCGATGTATTCGGATTGAGCTTTTTACCTACAGTGGCAAAGCACGAGGTCATGCGGCCTCCGCCACCTTTCTATGCACTGTGATTTTTATGTTTTGCATTGCTTCAAGGATTATTATCAGATGGGGCTCCAACCGTTAAACGGTCTGCCTTCAGCTTGCCCATATGGGTTTCTTTCTGAGGCTTTGTCTTCTACCTACTCCCTTCTATTGCTGTCCCCTCTACACCTCACTCGTCCTCTATATTTTTATACTTTTCAGAGGTCCGTGCATGCCCGGAACTACTGATCATTCCGGAAATATATCCCGCGAACTGGATGAAATAACCTACACGTTCGTCTGATTTTCTGGCAAAAAGAAAGTCTGCATGAGAAACACGCATCATCAGTACCCTCAAAGTGGTATGATATTATGATACATGAATATGCAGCACTCCACTGCAGCACTTGTCGAGATGATGAAGCGAAGACTGATTTGCCACACGCAGTCTTTCGAGAAAATTGCCTCTTTTAGCGTTTTTTCCTCAGTAGGCCACATTTTTCATTACGTGATCTAGAGGGGAACAATGATGCCTTTGTCTGTATGCGGAATGGAATTGACAATTCCTTACTGCTTTGGCAAATTATTGACTGAAGGAATTCTGAATAGAGTGCATGTCGTATTTGTAGTGGGTCTTCTCGGCTTCTAGTTCATCGATTTTTGAGATTGCCTCCTATCAACAGTTGAGATCGCCTAATGTAGTGGCAGACTGTGCATAGAAGATGGTGGTACCTCCAATTGTTGCTCTGGAGATTCTACCATCATCTCCACTGGTTCGGATGCCTTTGCGGTTTCCGCGCCGTTCACTGCAGCTTGTTCCTCCTGTTTAGGAAAGAAGTGTGAATGTAGTACACAGCCATATTACGGCGGGCAGATGCCATACCATGACTTGTGTCATAGCCTCTTCAACATCTGAACGAAGAGGAGTGAATGTTAGCTGCAGCTATATTCCTAGCGAAGCAAAAGGACAGACCTGCGACAGAGTCCGGCTTCACCACCATCACGGGAATCGGTACTGAACCCGTTCGCAGTGTATAGTCGAAGGAATAAAAACGGCGGCTGGAAACTGTTTTGCTTACGCATTTCAGGAGCTTCCATGCCTTGCATGACGCCTAGTTCCCCCGTTGAACCAGGTTGACTGGAAGCTGCTCCCGGGGATCCTGGTTGCGGTGTGTCGCTAGGAGTTTCAGGTGAAAGCAGAAAGTTCGTAGCGTCAGCCTTACCTGGTGGTGGTGGTGGAGGGCCTGGGAATTGAATCTCCACTGTAGCCCCAGGTCCCGCGTTTCTTCTTGCTGAGCAAAAAAATATTCATAAATCAATAGGTATGTATTCTCCTTGCATGGTACAAGTTGGCGTACACTGCTGAAATGCCTGCTTGCCCTCAGAGACCTCGCTCAAAATTCCAGAAAGTTCTTGTTGTAGTTCACCAAGCCTGCTCTGCTGATCCGCCACCATAGCCTTGAGCTGATCAATCGAAGGGTCTATTTTTGCACTGAGAGAGTCGGGAAGTGTGAAGTTCACATGCCAGATACCAACTCATGTTCTCAATACACTGGCCGTACCTACTTTGCGTCTCGGAGTGCACCAAAAGGCGACTACCACGGGCTCTAGGAAAAATGGCTACGGCAAGGATCGCCATCAATCTAATGGCCTTCCGCATCTTCCGAATCATAGCTCTCCGTTTGACCTAGTTCATATTCTTCCACACCAGATTCATGAACTGTCTCCAGACAACCGCAGACATATGCTGGCGGTTGTCCTTTTTCCTTTTACGCCCAATGCATGAAAAATTGACAGGGGTGACTTTTGAACACGCGTGGTTTTGGCTTACTTCGAGGCAGCCGTGAAAAGTGATGTAATATGTGGAACAAGGCGAAAGTTGTGGGAGCGCGGACAACAGGGAAATTCACAAGAATTCGGGACCCTTTTCCTAATATTATTGCCAATTTTTCCGAGCGTTACGAGACGCTCTGCGAACTGGCTCAGTGTACGCATTCTTCATGCTTAGTGACATAGCAGCTTGAGCAGTTATGTCATGCTGGGAGGCTGTCGATACACCTAAACTGCTTCACTTTCTATGTTTTTTTCGTCGTGGGACACACGTCTAGCTATTCGTTATTAATATGGATACAAAGTGCAAATGCCATGACAAACGCTAATGCCGAGACTTTCTTCGTTTGATGCATAATGATGTGCCACGCCAGTAAGAAGACGCTCCTGGCACATCTGATCGCCGATCAAAGAATTTTTTTGGTAAAAATGAGGCTTGTCTCTTTGTGGCTGAATTATTGTTCTCATTCGAAATTTTACGGCTCGGTTTGTTTGCCACGTAGGATAGATACAGAGGAACAAAGAGGCATATAGGCGAAACAGCCCGGTAAGACCGAGACAAGGACTCGCATAACTACTGGCTGTGCCGCAGCCCCGCGGCAATTGTACAATTAACATTGAGAAGCCACAACTCTAGTTTCTAAAGCACAGGCATAGAACTGCAATTATTTTCATCTTTTGACTCGAAAATTTCCCCGGTCAGCGGCTGCAGTGTGCTCTAGCACTAGCGAGTACCACTGTGGGCCTGGTGGGGGAATTTCATGACTCTTTTGAAAACAGGCTAATCTCCTACCACATGAGTTTGAGCTAACCTCTAAAGCGACTAGCAGCAGCAGTTATGCTGGTAAGAAGAAGGACGAGGGATTAGTAATTACAAGGATAGGGAAGGGGTTTCAAACTCCTGGCGTTTTCCTTCATTTGTCCCTGTTCCCTTTAAGCGCCGAGTCTTCCAAGTTCTGCTGCTAAATAGTTCATTTCCAATCCACATATTTGCTAGCTTAAGTGCTTGAATTCGAGGGACAGCCGCCATCTGGCAGACTTTTTAGAGTTACAATGTATTCACATCCATGGAGCCATGCCCCGTCATGCTTCGTGCTTGCTTTAAAGAAAGAGTGCTGAAGTGCACCAATAAAGTGCACGGACCATACTTACTGTGCGCTCTGTTTGTATGCAAGCACAACTAGATATTGATTATTGCTGCTTTACTTCGGCTCGCTGCCTTGGCTGCAGCTGTTCCATCTTCTGCATTTCTCTTTCCTGCAGGCAGTGCCACGTAAGAGCACTCATGGCGTGTACCTGGATTCAAGTGTACCTGCCTTCGCAGCTCAAAAGAAGCTCTTCTCTACGCTAAAGTAGAAGAACGCCAAATGCGGCCACCGAGAGTACAGCCACAGGCCCTCTGTCAATCTGATCTATTTTTCATGTGTTGAAATCTCCCTGCCTGTGCGTTTCGGCAGCAGCGCTAAGCGCTGCGCAGAGCTTAGGGGCAGAAAAACAACGAAAAGCGAGGGGCCCCATGGCAAAGGAGGCACATAGCTGCTACTCCTCACCGGTAGGGGGAGTGATCGGTTGTCGGGGGCGAGTGGCTTGCCAGTAGTCTCAGCAGACTTGCCACGAGCTGCTGTCTGACGTCATGGCCAAAAATGGGAAGGGAGGGCGAAGCCAAAGGGCACTAGGGAAATAGAGACACGGTGGAACGACACACAAAAGCCATCAGCCTGGTACATTCTAGGAACCACCTGTTTGCTTGTTTCTGGACGTCAGGATCTTAATCGCCTGAATGACAAACGAAACACACCGACAAACAGTTCAAAAACATTGAGGGTTGAGAGGCATACAGAGGCAAGCGAGCGAGCCCTCCCAAAATCGTTGACCGTGTGAGCGCACAAACGTTGCTGCTTCGCGAGAGAAAGGGGATGTCTCATCGATGCCAGAAAACGTAAGGAGCAACTGGACGGCTGCAGCGCAAGAGCACAAGAGCAAGCTGGCATGAGAACCTCATGAGCGCGGGAGTATCGGTAGCCCTAGTGGCAGGCGTTGCAGTAAATTCTCCCCGCAGCAGCTGGTCCGCGAGTAGCAAACCCTCACCATTTGCTTCAAGAGCTGCCTGCTTCACCGATTCAGAGCTTGCAGAAAAGAGTGCGAGGGCCCTTAGGAGCGGCGCAGTATTAATGCTCCATTTCATAAGCTGCCAGACATCCCTGTCTCCAGGTTGGGGTGTAGGCTCTTCATCAGGCAGCTCCCGTGGGGGTTCTCCAGGTGTTCTCTTTTGCTGTGTCGCGAGCACCGCTAAAACTCGCTGCTGTTGGTAGACTACAAGAAGGCGCACCAACGTTTGCACAAGCATGCACTGCTCTCGATCAAGCTCCCCGGGTGAATCTCCTCCTTCCTCCCGTGCCCCTGCCTCTGGTAGCCACTGCGTGCTGCTGCAGACATGGGTAGCTTCTGCAACGTTCACTAGAAGAGACTCCAGAAGGTCGAAAGAGTCGCTCACACACAGCCAACTAGGCTTCCCACTACATCCCATTGTCACTGAGCAGTTTCCACTGCCACTGTTGCTCCTGCTGGCGCTCACGGGCATGGATTCGGCCCGAGCCAGCAAAGTACCAACGTCAGAAGGGGAAAAGTTTTGAGGCAGCGAGAAACGTAGCAGATCAAAGAGGTGGTGGTGCTGCTGCTGCTGCTGATCATGCGCATGAAGTATTTCATCCTGCTGTTGTCTATGTTTTTTTCCTGCTTGCGTTGTCTCGAGCTGGTTGGTGTGCTGCTTGATTGCGCAAAGAAAGCGTATGAAACGTTCGTTTTCTGATCCTGGCAGTGGTGGAACTGCTGCCTCTCCGCTTGCTTCTGATGCTGTTTGGGTTGTTGGAGCAACAGCCGAGAAATAAAGGCGCTTTGCTTGCTGCAGGTTGTCTATCCGAAGCATTGTCGCTGCGAGCTGCTCTCGCAGGAACCTCACAAAGGGCGCGGAGGTTCCTACCGCCTAACACGAAAAGCAAACTGTAAGTGCAAAGCCAACAATCGCGCCAAGACATTTTCTGCCTCGCAGTCGTAAGCGTCTTCCTTCACACGGCACGTAAAGGCGAGCATCCCACCCCATCACTGAGGCACAGCTCGGGTGTCTCCAAACATCTTACGCCTTAAGGTTCGATCACCTGCATAATTGTGCTGAAAGAGCCTGATTTGCTGCATTCTTCTCGCACGACCGACTCCCCCAGGCCTAGCAGAAAACGCCAGAGCGCCTCCCTGCTGGCAGACGCGAATTTGTGCTGCAGCCGCTGCAGCAGGAAGCTGAAGCGGCAACGGTCGCTGGACGGAAGTTGCTGCTGCTGGGGTACCCTCTTGGCTTCGGAGGGGCTTAGCAGGGCCAGACAAAACAGCTCCAGCACGTCTGCTGTCAGCTCCCTGCAGACACCACCCACCGAAGCGCGGAGGAAGCCTGAAGCGTCGCTTCAAGCGCTTCTTGAACACTGCGGCTGCAGAACGCACGGCAGTAGCATCTGCACTTACTGCTCGACGTAGTCTAGGAGGCGGATAAACGGGAGGGCCCCCGCTCTCGTGAGAAGGGAGCAGCAAAAAATAGCAACCCATTCGCCACATTCTGCAGGGGGAACTCCCTGCAACTTCTCGTGGCGAGAGAGGTCAGCCAGCTGCGATATCCGAGAGCGCGGTGGTTGCGTTTCTTGTGTTTGTGGTGGGAGTAGGGGTGGCAGGGCTTCCTGCATCGCGATCGTGAAAAGAGCCGCCTGTAGCTGCATCAGGAGCAACGCCAGCGGGCAGGAGGCGAAAGAATCAGCAGCCAACAGGATTGTTTTCGCTTGCCATAGAGGTTTGTTCGCTCAAGCGCGAGGCAAAAAAGAGGGGTAGCTGCACGAAAGCAGGAGCAGCTTCTTCCTGGAGTAGCAGAAAATGCCAGTTTTTCCCTGTGCATTGCCACAACTGCTCCTGCTGCCGATGCTGCCGCTGCTAATGCTGCCGCTGCCCTTTAAGCTGCGATCGAGCCCAGCACAGAGAGCGCTCATCTCGCAAGCAGCGCAGCAAGCAGCGCAGCAAGCATCTCGCAAGCAGCGCAACAGCGTCAACAAGCCATACCTCGAGCAAGCTCTCTTCCGTCAGGCACACAGCGGCCTCATCGCTACACCCGAAGAGGAGATGCAGGAAGCTGAAGGACGCCTCCGCAGACTCTGGAAGCACACGACAGAGAGCTTTTTAGCCTCCAACTTCGCGCAAAAGTATGCACACTACCAGCTTCTGGCAAGCTGGGGCACAAAACAGCAGCAACGAAACAACGCGAAAAAGCAGCAGCAGCAGCGCTTGACGCACCCGAGCACAAAGCCAACTCCAACAGTCGCAGCCTTCCCACAGACTCCCAGATTTGCATGCGCAGCAGAGCCTCCTGCTGGTAAGCCTCCCGCTCCGGGGGAGCAGGGAAAGCAGCATCAAGTGAGCGTGTAGCAGCAGCAGCGTTGCTTAGCAGCTGCAGCAGAGACTTCGGCAGCAACAAAACCTCGGCACAGAGAAAAGGCAGGGCGAACCAGTGCATGGGCGTCTCCGCTGCCACTTGTGGTGTCGCTGCCAAAGTCTCCGCTGCAGGCTTGCTTGTTGCTATCGCTCCTGTTTCTGATGCTCCGGCTCTGCCTGAAGAAGCGTCGGCAAGGATGCGAGAGGCCACACTGCAGACTTCCACAACCTGCAGGCAAAACCAGCGAAACTACTCTGAAAAAGGATTCCACGCCTCACGCAAGGCGAGCACTTCCTCCCCGCCAGCGCGACAATCGCTCTGTTTCCTCCGTGTACATATTATACACACACACACACACACACACACACACACACACACACACACACACACACACTTCATTTTGTCTCCGTTGTAGAGGAGTGCTGAGCGCTGAGAAGGTACCTGAGCAGAGGCGATAAGGCGGCCAAGAAGCCTCCCTTCAAGGAGGATGCGCAAGAAGCCGGAGGAAACGCACAGATTTCGCAGCAGCCTCACGAGGGCGCACAAAACGGCAGCTGCCTCGACAACTGGAGCACTGCTGAGGCTGCCACTGCTGCTGCTTGGCGCGTCAGTGCAGTGCTCGTCTGAAGAGGGGCAGGCTCCTCGAAATCCTGCTGCGTGCTCTTGCTCGTGGAGAACGGCATCCACGGCAGCAGAAAGCCGCTGAAGCTGCGTCTCGAGCAGGAAGAGCAGCTGCTGCTGCGAGTCTCTGTCTCGGCTGCACCTCGCTCTCCACTCCGAGTCACAGCAGGATTGCTGCAGCAACCCCACGCACACGCAAGGAACCTCAAAAGCCGGCTGGTCAGCGAACCTTCAACTCCCAACCCCCACGCGCAGCTTCCAAGCTCCTGACCTTTATCAGGGCGAGCAGGAGCAGGTAGGTGCCTGACTGATGCTTCGCAGCTTCAAGAGAGGCTTTCACACTCGACTCCCCCTCCAGATCGCGCATGCGAGCCTGTAGGGGCCCCCGAAGGGCCTCCTCCTGCTGCTTTCTCAGCCCGACGACCACCGAGGGCCCAGGGGGGGCCCCCCAAGAGCCAGGGAAAGCCGCAGACATTGATTTTAAGCCTTTAAGCACTTTCGACGGCAGAATCTCGGAAGCCTGCGGAAGAGGGCAGAGAGGGGCCCCCCCCTCCTCCCCCCATGTGCGGTACCGCGTAGACGCCAGGGGGCCCTCCCAAAGGACGAGGAACCCCTACTTGAGAGCCGTCAACGCCTCGGTAGATAGTGCAACAATAATATGCATGCGCAGATCTGCCAGGAATAGGAATACTTTCGGGGAGAAGGACGGACAGCATCGTCGCAGACGGGGCCCCCAACCGAAGGGGCCCCTTCCGCCCACCCGAGGGGCCCCCTTCTCCGGAGTCTGAGTTCGCAGGTTTCCGACGAAAAGCCGCGTATTGCAGAAAGATATTCTCAGCATCCAAAACCTAGAAAACTTTGTCTGCCACTACGTTGGCGCTCCTGGTTGCTCGCGGCTACCCTTGTGACGCGCTAAACACGCCCAAGCCATCAAGAAAAAACGGCGAGCATAAGAGAGCCTCCGAGTGAGGCCCCCTTCACCCAGCACACGCAGCAAGGAAAGAGGATGGAGGTAGACTCACAACTACAGGTCTGCCTAAGTGGACTCTTAGACGCTCTACTCACTAGGCTTACATGCATACATATGCACACAACACTCAAGACGCGCTCCCTCCAAGGAAGGGGCTTCCCATGACTAACAGAACCCTAATGAGGAGCGCCAACAGGTGCAACTATCCTCCCGACCTCAGCCTCCTACTGCTCAGTTCCCCAGCGCAGACGCATTCTGAAACTAAGGTGTAAAGTGTACAAAAAATGGTTCGAAAAGCAAAGCTTCAGAGCTGCTCTGGAGCAGTTGGAAAGTGCCCCATGGGCTGCTGCGCCCTCTCAATTCTACATGCCTATGTTTCTCTCAGGATTCGAGGGCGCCTCTGGTGTTTGTGGAGAGTTGGCGAATGATTCGGCTCCTTTTTTTCGGCAAGGCTGCATTGGCGAGCCGCTGTGCGACCGCCTCCGATTTGCATACTGTGGAGAAGTCTCGACTCCGGCAAGGAAAAATGGAGGCATGTGTTTTCGCTAGCTGATTTGCGAGTTTCTCAATACGTGTTTGCCGCTTTCTAAAGCGTATGCCTTTCAGTTCGGTGCCATCAAAGTCCTCTTCTGCGACAGCGCCTTCCAAAGCAGCTGCCTCGAGGCGCTTCCGTTCCCGCAGCTGCTGCCGCATGCGTCTGTTCGCTGCATAGTCGTCTGACGGATGCTGCTGCAACAGCATTGCAGTCGCTTGTCGGCTACCTGTGATGCGCTCCCTGAGGTGTTGCTGCTGCGGAGTTTCCTCGGCAGCCCTTTGCTCCTCCAGTTGCTGCTGGGCAAGTCGGCCCCTCTGCCTCCTCAGCGTTAAGGCTTCTTCTCTGAGTTGCAAAGGATTCGCTGCTAGCCGCTGCCTTTCTTCAGGATGAAGCAGCCGCGGATTGCCGCTCTCGAGGTCAGGCAGTTCCTCAACTTTCTGCTTCAGGCCCGTGGTACACAGGTAGAGAGCCCTCTTAGGATCGGTAGTAATTACGAATAAATTGCTGCACTGCGGGCAGGGGAAGGAAAATGAATACACGGGCGTTGAGAAGTAAGAGCCAACGCGCTGCTTCTTGGCGTTGAATCGTACGCCCTTGTCAGTAATAGCGCCACATGAAAGACAAATAACTTTATAAGGCATTTCAAAGCGCACCACCAAGATTCCTAGAGCTATGTCCTTTGCACGATCCCCCAAAGGATGAGACCCTCTATATTTGTTAAGGCTCCCGTGGATTGCAGGATCATAGTCTGGTCCATAGTAATACCCGTCAGCACGGGCAGCCGCAAGAGACGACATTTTCGTGGAAGAGGGGGTATCGCAACACCGCTGCTGACAGCTCGGGTAGGGGTGATGCTGTTGCCGCTTCTGTCGCTGCGTTCGAAGCAGCGTGTGCTCGCTGCTTTGGGAGTTGCTTTAGCTGGCGCAAGTGCTGGAGTGCGTGACAGCTGCCCCCGATGCTTTAGCGTGTGTGGGCGCGCGCAAGCTTTGAGAAAGAAGGCGACACCGAAAGAGAGCTCTTAGAAGACGGAGAGAAAGCTAAGGAAAGCAAAAATGAGAAGCTGCCCCATGAGTTCAAGTGAGCTTGTTCGGTATCGGAGCTTAGCGCCTTAGACACAAAGCCAGCAAGAGAACGCCAGATGTTCGGAACACCTGGCCGAAGCAAGCAAATGCGAATGCAAAAGCTAGGAAAAGAAGTGAATGTGATGGATAGACTACGAAGGGGCCGATATATCAAAGAGCTGCCCGAGCAATGCGCGGCGCACAGCAGACAGGGGCCCCAGAGACGCCGACATGCCTGTTATGCGGGGCATCCACCGACAAACACTGAAAATAAAGCATTATGTATACGTTTGGTAATGCACTAGTCGGAGAGCGATGCATAAATAGCTTGGTTTTGAGCTGCAGAGACCTTGCGTACAGATTTGCGGCGCGGTGTATATACACTTTCGGGGCTGGCTGGCTGCATGCGATGTGGAAGGAAGGTTGCGTCACTATGAAGAACAAGACGGATTGTAGACCATCCACGTCGTTGCAAGCATACGTGCCGATATCTGCATGCCTACAGAAGGCGTGTGCATGTTGTCTCCCGACTGTCGACCACCTCCCGTCCGTTGCCTCCGAGTTTCAGGGTTGATGGTATAGGGGTTTCAGGGAGGGAATATCTGCAACACGAATGTTCCCTCTGATCATTCGACACTCTTCTGAGCTGCGCGATTCTGCGTCATCATCGGGAGCGGGAACAATGTGCAGCATTTAGCGGAAAATGGCGCCGTTTGCGAAGGGATTTGTGCGACCTCGGAGCCGCAAGATGCGGGCACTCATCTCAGTGGGCGAGTCAGTTGCTCCCCCTGATCCCCGAAGGCGGCCGCTGCCCTCTCTGTTGGATCCTCCGCCATTTGCTGCGCCTTTGAAGAAGGGCATCCCTCAGCTGGAGCTTCAGTTCGACACACTCAACACGATCGTGAGTGCAAAAATTCCTGACACTTGCTTGCGCGTGGTGCGCTGTATAGTGAGGTTCTGGCTCGCTTTGTGGCCTGCGCATGTGTGGTCTCTCCAGCTGGTTGTTGTAATGCACTTCTTGATGCTTGTGCTTGAGCTGGGTGCGTCCTAGGTAACAGGATTTCGGAAGTATCAACCGCCTCCAGAAAAGCTGCCCCCCTTGCGCCGGGAGTATACAGAAAAGAATTTCAACGAACTCTTTGCCAAGTGTAGATTTGAGCTCCATGGATCCTTTCCGTGTAGGAATCGCCGCTGAATCTGCCACGGCTGAATCTGTTGTTGCTAGTGTTGCCACTGCTGAATCTGCTGTTGCTAGTGTTGCCACTGCTGAATCTGCTGTTGCATGCGATGGCGCTTGCGATCAAATCAAAGTAGCCGTGCTGCCTTTTCGTTAGTCTGGTGCTTCCGCTTGTTGCACTCTGGTTGGGGCTGTTGGTTTCACAGTGGCCTCATTCCCCTATATGTGTATGTATATATATATATATATGTGTGTGTATAGTAAACGCTTGGTGTTTGACAATGCTCAGACAATGGGGATAAGCTTAGGGACGAAATACTGCGGATTGCAAAGGATCTGCATATCGTCGGATGGGTCAAGTGCAGGTCCAATTTCGCCAGTGGCCATGTCGGTGGAGTCATTTTTAGCACGTTTTACCGCTTGTTACTGTTGCCTCCCCCTTTCGTTTCTAGCTGCTGCTCTCTCTGTCTTTTTTCCCTTGTCTCTCTCTCTCTCTACAAATGCTTCCCGTGCTGCTGCTGGCGCTCGCTTCCCTCGTGGCTTCTTGCTGTCTCGTTGTTTTTCCTCCGTCATGTCTGTACCGCCTGTAGAGCGCTCCTCTTTAGCCCGCCTTTATCTCTGTGCCTCGGGGGTTGGCCTTTTGCACTGTCTGCGTTGGCGGCGCAGGGTGGGGGGAGGTGTGAGGCGCACTTCTTGAGCTTTAAAGTGCTTGCTTTGCCAATCTGGTGCGTGCAGCTGCAAGGCGACACGTTTGCCCTTTCCTACTTCCGACGCTGGCTGGACCGCCATGCGCCGTATGCGATTGACTCCACGAATTTCTTCGACGAAGCGATTGGCTTGCAAGCGCTGGATTACCAGTATGTCTTGTACACACCCCTGTCGAAAAATATGAACGCCTCCTGAGAGGCTGGTACAACAGCATTTGTGTGGCAACCCCCCCTCCCCCCCCCTGCAAACCCTTTGATTCCCTCCTTGTTGCAGAGCCTTCCCTCTTCCCCCTCCCCTCCCTCTCAGCAAGCTCCCTGCACTCCTTCCTCCCCTTTAATCTTCCTACGCGTCGCATGTTATGAGTGCTGCTGCCCAGGCAAATCGCGGCAGTCAATGACTACCGCAGCCCCGCTAAAAAGAAGCTGCATATGCTGATGGTAAAAGTCTAGCGCCATTCTTGCTCCCGAGGCTGCGTGCCTTTGACAGCGACCTCTCTGTAGCCAGTTGTGGTAGTGGTTGGTGCGACCCCTCCCGCCTAGTGTCGTGCCCCCCTCCCTCCGATGATGCGCTTTTTAAAACGCGGCTTGAGAGAATCTGATACTGGGGTGCGTGCATGCGTCTGTATGCAAACCGTGCAGGCTGCGGAGAAACAAAAGGCTCTCAAACTCGAGAGGGATAGCCAGCAGCGCGCAGCCGCCTATCAAAGATACATCGACGAATGCTGCGTTCGAAATTACTAGCGATGGCTGCAGCAGCGGCATCCGGGAAAGTGCGCTAGGCGTCTTGTCTGAAGCGTTCTTAGGGGGTCTCCTTTCCCCCATAGGCCTTGCTGAGTTTAGCCTTTTTTCCCCTTTCCTCGCCACAACACCCCTAGTTACTCTGCCAAGGGGGCATGCGCGCGGCAGCAAAGCGCAGCTAGCGTCACCCAGGGGGCTTGGAGAGTCGCGCACAGTCGATTGCTCTAGAGATCGCCTCGCATGAAAAGCAGAGGCCGTGCTGTGTGCTTGTGTGAAGCGCGTGGAGGGTGGTGTAGCTACTTCTGGGAAATTCGCGACACTGGGAGGGTTCAAAGGAGCCGAGCAAGTAGGGGGGTTCGCCAGTGGTGCTGCCAGGTTAGAGCAGTTTATGCAGAGATACGAGGCAGGTTTCGGTAGATGGCGCTTGCGCCTGGCCCCCCCCCCCGTTTTGGTTTCTGTCTCCTTACATCACCCTTGTCGCCTCCTCAAGGAGGAGTTGTCTAACTGCTGGCTCCTTCGAACCAGCCGCCCTCTCGAAAGGCCTAAGCCTTGAGAATTCTCAAAGAACTTGAGCCGCCCGAGCGGCTCAAGTGCTCGAATTCTCGCCTCAAGCTACCTGCTGACTGAGAGAGGCTTCTGCCACGCCCCTCAGGCAGCTCTTCTCAAACGCATCGATCGCCGCTGCTGCCGCGGCAGCAGCAGCGGCGACGCCTCCGAGCCGTTGCTGCTTGTAGATACCTGAGACAGAAGGACAAGCCGAAGGAAAGCAATTGGCTCACGTGCCCCTATTTAGCCCTCTAAAGTGGCCATACAAAGAGCTCGCCTTCCCCCCCCCCCCTGTTTTCCCAGGCTGTTGCGGATGATGCTGCTGTCGCAGCCTTTACCTGCCAGAATTAGGGTCTTTTCGGCACTCCACTGCCGCGCAAGTTTCGCTTTGACGTCTGCAAAAGGCTACCCACAGAGGCACTTGGGTGCACGGTTGGCATGTGTTGAGGAGGGCTCGTCGCGATGCCTGCCGTGTCGAGCCTTTGCGGATTTCTTAGCACGCAGCTCGTCCTCGCGACACTTCTACTAAGGCACCGAATTTAAAGGGCTGCACAGAAAGGACTCGCGAAGACGCCTCCAAGCACAGCTGCTTACCAGGTGGCAGTCTTCTTCCAGAGACGCTGAGAACACTATGCACCACCTCCCGCAGTCTCAAATCTGCTGCAGCCACACTCGAGGCAAGCGGCTCGAAGGCTTTCTTCTCCCCGCCTCCGTCCGCCACACAGGAGGCTCCTTCTCCGCCCTTCGCAGTCGGCTGCAGCTGCGAGTCTTCAGGAGGAGGAGGGGGGGCCCATAGGGCGAGAATGCCCATACAGCAGGCAGCAGAGAAGAGGCTTACCTATTAAAAAGAAGCAGCGTCAAGGCAGCAGACAAGCGGCTTTTATAGGTATACTGGTGGCAGCGTCAAGGCAGCAGACAAGCGGCTTTTATAGGTATACTGGTGGCAGCGTCAAGGCAGCAGAAACGCGGCTTTTATAGGTATACTGGTGGCAGCGTCAAGGCAGCAGAAACGCGGCTTTTATAGGTATACTGGTGGCAGCGTCAAGGCAGCAGACAAGCGGCTTTTATAGGTATACTGGTGGCAGCGTCAAGGCAGCAGAAACGCTACAGATGCTGAATACGTGGCTTAGAGTTAGGCATAAGGCTTTTAAAGCCTTACGCTTTCTTCCGTAGTGCCCGTAATCTTCCACAACGGTTGCACACTGCGCCACCCCCGGATCGCGGGCGTTTCGCCTAAAACGGCCTCCGCATCCTTTTTGCTCTTGTTGTTTTTGTCGTTGTTTTTGGCATGAAGGGCACATGCAGCGGCAAGATCTCGCACTCCCGGATCCGTTTGAAGCGCTCTATCGTTTGCATGCACCACGGCGGGGGGAACGTGAAGCCTCCTTGAGACACAGGAGCTCACGGGGGAAGACACCCACACCTGGAGAAAGCCGCAGCCCCCTGTCGCCACACACGCGCTAACACGTGAGACTTGAGCGCCACGCGTTTTTGTCTAACACTGGCCATGGCATCGCGTGCAGGACTGACTGTAGGATTCGTTTTGGCTCACAGGTTCTGGCGATCTGAAAGAAGGGTTTGCGAAGAGACTTGAGGTGGTGCGTGTCGTCTACCACAAGCAGAAGCAGCGGGAGACAGCAAGAGGCGCAAGGGCTGCCTGCGCTCGCACTGGCGCTCCCCCCCCGAGGATTGCTGTCTCTACAGCCTCCGCAGCAACACGCAAAAGGCAGGCGCTCCCTGCTATGCGCTGCATGCCCTCTCAGCATCTCCTCTACCACGTGCGGAGCTGCATGCCTCGCCGCCTTCCAGCGAGCGGCAGAAAAAGGAGCAAAAATCGCATCCCCCCCCGAGAGGCTGGGAGGCAGCTGCTCGGAGTGGTCACGGCTCTCTCCCGCTGCAATGGGAAGCTTCTCTTCTAGCGCGTCTACTTCCAGCCAACACACTTCCAGTCCCCCACTAAGCCTCGTAGAATAGCCGGCCGGAGAAGGCGACAGGCAGCATGCAGCTTCCTGAAAGCCCTCCCGCATGGCGCCTGTGCATCTACTGCCACCAGAGGAATTTCGACAAGGCGCTTTGACAGCATCCTCTAGCCTTTGCGGGGGACGAATGGAGCGACAGAAGCCGCGCGCAGGAGCGAGATCCTCGTGCAGCTTCCTCCGTCTCTCAGTTGCCGAGGTCGCTGCTGTCGCAGCCTCCTCAGGGCAGTCCTTCGGAGTCAGCTTTTCCCGGCTGTCTCTACAGAGGCAGCGAGTGCTGCGGAGAGCCTCCAAAGAAGCCGCGCTAGCCAGCTGCCGAGCTAGCGAGGATTTGCCGCTGCCTGGGGCCCCACAGAGCAGCAGCAGGGAGACAACGGACGCTCCGCAGCGTGGGCATGCAAAGAGTCTGCGCTTGCGGCTACAAGCGCGTGCCTCGAGGCTGTGTGGCTTCTGCATTTACTGCGTCTGTGGCGTGCGCTGGTGCTGCTCCCCACGTGCAACAGCGAGCAGTAGCGGCGGCAGCTGTAGAGAGGGCTGCGCAGACGCTTCTGATGGCTCCATAGGGATTTCCTGGGAGCCGGTGCGAAGGCTGGCAGTCCGCCGTTCAGAGTAGCGCAAGGGGTAGCCTTAGACGCGCGAAGCAACGCCGCTTCGGCAGGAGGGAAGGGTGTCTTGGGGGAGCCTAGGAGGCGCTTGCAGAGCAGAAGGGGGGAAGAAAGGGGCAGGGCAGAGGCTCCGCCATGGCTGTCGAGGAGCCACTATGAGATGAGCCTTTTGAATTCGTGTGCGGAAGGAGGCGTATTTTCGGTGTGTTACGCGGCTAGTTCTTGCGTGCTGGTCGTGAAGAGGGTTCTGCCCATGACCGAGGCGCGCCTTTCTCTGTGTTTAGATGGAAATTCCGTGCACAATACAATTTTCGCCGGATCAGACGCTGCTGCCCGCGTTTTGCCGCGGCGTTGCATGCAGCCCCACGCGGCCAGTCACCGGTGCATGCATGAGCGGCAGCGGCGGAGGCGCGTGCCGTTGAAAGCTGTTGTTATTGGGACCCCTCGGCTGCTTTGTAAGTGAGAAGATATCTTGAATTTGTGAGAAAGAGGACGGGGTGGCCTCTCTTGAGAGTTGTATAGCGCACTCGGCTCCCCATACTGCACGGCGTATTCCGATCACCGACGGCAGTTGCTGCGTCGGTTACGGCTAAAGCTGAGGCAAGAGTGGGAGGGATGCCCGCTGCAGCACACCATGGCGGCAGCCAACAGGGGGGGTGTTTCTGTTGATCCCCTGTCTCCCGAGGGTCCAGTGGCTGCGGAAGAAGAGCAGAGTCATGAGGAAGAAGAGCAGCGAAGTCGTGAAGAGGAAGGACGGCAGAATGGGGGTGAAGATCGCAGCGATGCGGAGGAGGAGCAGAGACGCGAGGAGGTTTTAGTGCAGAAGGATCGAGAGGACGAAGGGTTAGAGGGGAGCCGTCGGAGAGGACGGAAGCGGCAGAAGAAGGACAAGGAGAGTCGTGGTAGCAGAAAGAGGCGGCGGAATGAGCGGAAGGCGCCGAAGCACAAGAAGAAGCGCAGGTCGAGGCAGCAGCAGCAGCAGCAGCGGGGAAGCGGCGACAGCAGCGATGAGGAGAGCAATTCAGAGGAGGAGGACGACGTTGAAGACGAGGAGGAAATCCTGAGGGAGGAAATGCGTGGCTTCATCGTGTCGGAGGCGGAGAGCGACAGCGGCAGCAGCAGCAGCAGCAGCAGCAGCAGCAGCCAGGGGGGGGACGGCGATGCCTTGGCGTTAGACGAAGAGGATCTGGATCTCATAGCCGAAAACACAGGGCTTGTTGTGTCTCAGGGAAAGGCGCTCTCGAGAGGGCTCCTTCGGGAAGCCTCGACGCAGCAGACGCGTCTGGAAGAAGCCACAGACAACGAGGAGGATGCGGATGTGAGGAAGCAGCAGTTTAGGAGGCTGAAGAAAGCCGCAAGTTCAGCGGGGGCTATGGGGAGTGAGCGCAGACTGAGCAGCAGCGGAAGCGGAGACGAGGAGAGGAGGGGCTATCGAGCAGCCTCTCGCTCGACGACCAAGGGGAAAGGCGTTTGTCTTGCAGCAGAAGACAGCTTGTTCGAGCGTCGGGAGGGAGAAGAAGAGGGAGGAAGGGAAGAGGACGCCGATGAGGAGAATCTAGAAAGATCTGATGAGGAAGAAGAAGAAGAGAGCGACGAAGGAGGCGAGTGGTATGAAGAGACAGCGGGTGCCGCTGGAGGGGGGTCCATGCAACGCTTGGCGGAAGCGTGGTCGCTCGTGTATGATTGTTTTGGAGATATCGATGCAGTTATCAGCATCCTCTGCGACAACAGGTGCGTGTTTGTCTGCATGCGCGAAGGAATGCATGGCGGCATCTGTCTCTCCCTTCACCTGACTCAAGTCTCTGTCTGTCTCTCTGCCTGTCTTTGCGTTGTGCTTTCCCCGCGTGTTTCCAAGGATCCCCACGGTTATTTTCTGCAGCCACAGCGTGCGCAGGAGAGCTTTTCGCATGCATTTTTGCGTAGTAGTGCATGCGTCTTGGGGCTTTTTGTCTCCTTAGGTCTCGTGTGCGATCGGATGCGGATCTGAGAGGTTCTGAGGAAGCGCTGCTGTCGGGGGAACGACTTTCGCCTCCCTCTGGTGCTGCGGAAGTCGGTGGGGTTACTCCACGGGTTAAACGCAGCTTGTGGGATCGACTAGGGGAGCCGGATGAACTCGCAAAGGGTTTGGCGACTGCAAGAGACGAAGCAATAGCACGGATAGACTTTCCAGAAAGGCTGCAGCTCAGACTGAAGAACCGCCCTTCAAAAATATCAGAGGCAAGGCGCTGCTAGGGGGATGGTCATGATGATGATGATGTTGCTATTGCTGTGTTGCTGTTGCTGTTAGTGTTGTCGCTATTGTTGTTGCTGTTAGTGTTAGTGTTGTTGCTATTGCTGTGTTGCTGTTAGTGTTGTTGCTATTGCTGTTGCTGTTAGTGTTAGTGTTGTCGCTATTGTTGTTGCTGTTAGTGTTAGTGTTGTTGCTATTGCTGTTGCTGTTAGTGTTAGTGTTGTTGCTATTGCTGTGTTGCTGTTAGTGTTGTTGCTATTGTTGTTGCTGTTGCTCTTAGTGTTGTTGCAATTGTTGTTGCTATTGTTGTTGCTGTTAGTGTTGCTGTTGCTCTTAGTGTTGTTGCTATTGTTGTTGCTATCGTTACTGTTCTTGTTATTGTTGCTGTAATGATGGTTTGCTTTGGGATCTTGCCTGCACCTGGAGGGCGTTGTGTAGTGCCTCCTCTTCCTTCCGCTTTGAAATGCATGGAGCTGCTGCTGCTGCTGCTGCTGCAGTAAACGCACTTTTGATGCAGCTCTTCCTGCGCCTACGTCTGTGTGGACTGTTGCTACAGGCCGCCTTAGCAGCAGAGGCTCTATGGATATCTCGTCGCTTACTGGAGGAGTTTGCAGACGATTTGAAACCTCGTAGGCTTGCTGAGCGATATATGGATGCGTTTGGTATGGCTTGCCGGCTGCAAAGAGATCCTGAACAAGACGTTCAGCGGAAAGTCTTGCTGCTGCTGCAGTTGCTGCTGCAGCAAGGCTTTGAAATCGTCTTTATTCTCGAGCACAGGATACACCTTGTCGCTCCTCCTCTCTCTGTTGCCATGGTGTGGAGGGCATACGAGCTGGATCTTCGATATTGGCGGCTTCGAGCTGCAAGGATCAAGCTGCTGCAGCTTGCCGTCCGCGTGCAGCAGCAGCAGCAGCAGCAGCAGGGAGGCGCGACTCAGGAAACGCATCACCAGATCAAAGAGGTCGTGCAGAAGCTCGTGAGGGAAGCAGAGACGGAGCAGCAACTCGAAGACGTTCGGCTCTTCTTGCTGATGCAGTATCATCCACAGCTTGCTGCTGCTGCTGCAGCGGCTGCTAGAGGAGGCAGCAAACAGCGCAGCTTCACAGAAGACGAAGCAGACCAGGAGGAGGCACAGCAGGCAGAAGAGGACGAGAAACTGCTGCAGAGCGACACAGCAGACACGATCTTGAAGCACGAAATGAACAAGCAGGAGCTGCAGGAAGAGGATCGGCTGCTTGAGGACGTGAACTGCAGTCTGCAGCAGAGACTCCATGACAGCGGCAATCACAGAGATCTCGGAGATGAAGGCGACCGAGGTTTGTTGTCAGCTGCTGGAGGAGAAGGCGAGGTGGTATCTGCCGTACCGTCTATTCCACCCCTTCCAGAGGAAACAGCAACCGTTGCTGCCCTCGGTGAAGAGCAGCAGCAAGAAGGAAGAACGCAGGAGGATCGGCTGTCGCTGGAGCAGAAGCATATGCTTGTCGACCTGCAGCATCTCTACTTACAGCATGGCAATGCAGAGCAGCAGCAAGTGCAGCAAGATCTTGAGGGGGATGCTGCTTTGCTGCAGCGCAGGCAGCAGCAGCCGCTGGATGTTGAAGAGCCACACGGCGAGGCACAGTTGTTCTGCGAGGAGGAGATGATGCAGCGAATGCCGCCAGAAGGAGATTGTTGTGACTCTACAGCCGCTGCAGCACGTGCAGCAGATGCAGATGCAGCAGCAGCAGATGCAGATGCAGCAGATGCAGATGCAGATGCAGCAGCAACAGATGCAGATGCAGCAGCAGCAGATGCAGATGCAGCAGATGCAGATGCAGATGCAGCAGCAGCAGATGCAGATGCAGCAGCAGCAGATGCAGATGCAGCAGCAGCACAGCAGCACGAAGCAGCAGAGTCAGGGGAAACAGAAGTCGCCGTGCCCGCTGAGACGGCGGATGCTGGAACCGCCATTCCAACAGCATCGGCAGTAGACTCTTTTCCACAAACAAAAGCAACTGGCTCTCTTGGCAGTCGTCCCCACGCAGCTAAGTGGGATATACAGCCAGTGTCAGTACAGCAGCCGCAACAGCAGGACGGGCAGCAGCAGCACGCGCAAGCTGCGAATGGAAACGCCTGCACGACAGACAGCAGCAGTGACAGCAGCAGTAGCAGCAGCAGTAGCAGCAGCAGTACTAGCGAAAGCAGCATAAGCTTCTCCAGTAGAGATGCAGCGAATGCTCCAAGAGCTTCTTCGCGTTGGGGGCAGAGGACCCCTCGGCCGTTGGTGGCAGTAGATGCATCAGAAGAAGCAGCGATCGCAGCAGAGGCACTGCCAGCTACAGCCGTAGGAGGTTCAGAAGCAGCGTTCGGCAATCCTATTACAGACGCCCAGGCGGCAGAAGCGCGTGCAGCAGCTGCACAAGCTGCGGAGGATTTTTTTGGCGCAGATTTCTCGCAGGAAGAGTCCGCAGGAGCGACGCAGTCTCCTGAAGGAGCTGCTGCAGGAGCTGCAGCAAAGGCTGCGGCAGCGCGCGCAGCAGCTGTTCAAGCTGCAGGAGCAGCTGCAGGTAACTCAGACGCAGCAGCAGCCGCAGCCGCAGCAGCAGCAGCAGCAGCGAAGGCTGCAGCAGCCCGCGCAGCAGCTGCACAGGCTGCAGAGGATTTCTTTGGCGGAGACTTTTCGGAAGTTTCGCCTCTTCAAGCAGCGAAGTCAGCAGCAGCTGTACCTGCAGCTTCGGCAGCAGCAGCAGTAGGGCACCCCTTTGCACCAGCGAGCTCAGAGGCGTCGGCAGCAGCGAAGGCTGCAGCGGCAGAGGATTTCTTTGGCGAGAATGCCTCTCAGACGCAGTTCGCAGCTCGAGGAGGCCAGTCGGAGCTCGTCGAATCCAGCGGCAGTCGATCGCTTCGCTCAGTGGGTGGGAACGCTCCCCTGAGCAGTGGGAGCCGCATGCATGCGGCGGGAGCGGGGAGTGGATTCGGCAGCTGCGATGGCGCGAGTCTCACGGAGGAGGACTGCGCCGCAGCAAAAGCGGAGCAGCTGGAGTTCAAGCGTCTCCTAGATGAAGCTGCAGAGGAAGAGTGGACTGAAGCGGAGGCAGCAGCAGCAGGAAGGCCCTTATCTCTCAGTGAAACTCCCCTCATCGATGCAATTGAGGTTCGTTTGATACTGCTGTTATCAAACTGCCGATATTCCTTACTCTGGAACGGTCGCACCTGCCATCTGCGAGAAACCGTTGCGATAGATGCCTTTGAAAAAGCGCACTTTCAAAGCTTTATCGCTCTCAGATGCGCGAGCCTCTCCCTGTGTCTGGCTGTTGTTGCTTCTTCATCTCATGCTTCGATGCCTTCGTGTGGTCTCTTTTGTGTGTGTTTGGAGTGTCTATGTCGATCCGCGGGTGCCTCTCTAGGCGTGCGTTCGCATGCTGGATCTCTCTGCCTGCATGGTCGGCGCGTAGCGTCTGTACCCCCACGTGCAAAGCACGAGGCTGCCTCCGTGGTTCCTTCCTCTGCCGCTTTCTTCGCTATACTATGCTTTTCTCTCCGCTTCTTGTGTCGTGTGTGCGTGTGTATTTCTGCTGTGTGTTTGCATTTGTGTTGTATGCGTATTTGATTGTATGTGTTTGTTTGTGTGTGATTGTATGTGTGTATTTGTGTTGTATGTGTATTTGATTGTAGGCGTGTATTTGTGTGTATTCGTGTTGTGTGTTTGTGTGTGTCTGATTGTGTGTGTTTGATTGTGTGTATTTGTGTGTATTCGTGTTGTGTGTTTGTGTGTGTGATTGTATGTGTTTGATTGTGTGTATTTGTGTTGTATGTGTATTTGATTGTAGGTGTGTTTGATTGTGTGTATTCGTGTTGTGTGTTTGTGTGTGTGATTGTATGTGTGTATTTGTGTTGCATGTGTCTGCTCGTATGTGTGTATTTGTGTTGCATGTGTCTGCTCGTGTGTGTGTATTTGTGTTACATGTGTCTGCTCGTATGTGTGTATTTGTGTTGCATGTGTCTGCTCGTGTGTGTGTATTTGTGTTGCATGTGTCTGCTCGTATGTGTGTATTTGTGTTGCATGTGTCTGCTCGTATGTGTGTATTTGTGTTGCATGTGTCTGCTCGTGTGTGTGTATTTGTGTTGCATGTGTCTGCTCGTATGTGTGTATTTGTGTTGCATGTGTATTTGATTGTAGGTGTGTTATGTACGTGTGTGTGTGTGTTTGTGCAATCGCGCGCTCGTTTTTTTATCGGCAGCGTGTGGAGTTTACAGTTGTGGCTTTGGACGTGTGTATCTCCTGCAGATGGCGCATCGTCACGGTCTCGCCTCAGTATGGAGTGGCTATTTGCTGGATGGTGATGCGCTGCTCGTGAATTTGAATTTTTTGCGGTTTGAAGAGAGGCACCCGCTTCAGCCGGGGCGTTTGCTGTCTTTGCCGCGGATCCCCCGATTTCCCCCCCCCCAGATCGAGTTAGCGTCAGAGACAGACGTTGCAGCAGCAGCGGCAGCAGCAGCAGCGGCTGGAGCAGGAGGAGGTGCCAGTGAAGCTGAATTGCAACTTGAACTTTCAGCAGCCGCATGGGTTGCGCAGTGGTGTCGTCCTCCCTTCTCCTCAGGAGCTCAAGTGCTCTCTCTCCTTGTGCAGTATCATGCAAAGTGCCTTGCTGCGCATTGCGAGCTGCGGCGTCTCCTAAGAAACAAACTCGAACGGATGCTTACTCTCTCTGTCATCACCAGTCCCAAGGGCGAAAGAGAAGCAGATCCTGCAAAAGCCTGCTGGATCGCACGCAGGCTATGGCGGCTCCCCGTGAAATGCTTTCTAGAGGAGGTATATGATCTATCTCCATAGATATATATGTATATAGATTTATATATATATGTATGTATAGATATATATATATGTGTGTGTATACATATATTTGTATATGTATTCATGTACATCTTGAAATACGTATTCATACATTCGTATCCATATGTGTATATATGGATGTGTGTATGTTGGGACGTGTCGTGTTGTGTGTTGTTTTTTACGCCTATCCAAGGCACACCTCTCTTTTCTTTCGAAGAGGTTTCATTTCAGTCGCACTTACTGCTGTTTTGTGGGGAACGCGCGATCCACACAGACGGATGTTTTGTGGATATTTTTGACGGTGCTCTGTGCTGCATGCAAGCGCATGGGCCGTTCAAGTGCCATCTGCTGCATGCAAAACACGTGTGCTGCTGCTGATGATGCGGCTGCAGATTTTGCCAGAGTTTGTGGAAAAGCCGCCGTGTCTACCGTGGAATGACAGGGCTCACCGCGAAGAAGAGCAAAGAGAGAAAGAAATAGCGAGGCGTCGCCAGCTGCAGTCTCTCGCGACACAGGAGGAGAAGAAGGAGTTTCTTGCTCTTTGCAAGAAGGCCGACAGAGAAGAGAAAACTCGACGGGAGCAGGTTGCAGCGGATCCCCTTCAACGCGCCAAGAGGCTCAAGCAGATACTATGCAACCGAAGAGACAACTCCATCAGTCCTCTTTTCGTTCAGGTTTGTGTGTGTGCGCATGTGTAGCACCCAAGTGGGATTTTCGCACACTGCAGACCAGACTCTTAGCGCTCCTAGCCTCCCACACCGCTAGGCTTTGCCTTTCCTTGCTTTAAAACTGCTCTGTTAGAGTCGTCTATTGGCGGATGCATCTGCTGCTGCTGTCGGGCTAGATGTTGCGCCTGCCGTGTTCAATGCAGATCCAGCAACTGGAGAGACAGGGCGAGGTAGCGGTGATACTGCATCCTCTTTCGGGGGAGACGCCTCCGTGGAAGCGGGAAGAGTTTGCGGGGAGGCATGCGGAAGCCTTGAAGGAGCAGAAGCTCTTGCGATTAAGTGGCAAGACAGCTGGCATGTCAGTGGCGACACTGGGTAGCAGCGGCGTGGCGAGCTACATGCACGATCTGCAGCAGCAGCAGCAGTATTTGGAGAGCGAGCAGCAAAAGTTTGCAGAGGCGGAACGCGAGGATCAGCAGCTCATAGAGTCGCTTCTTTCTCACCTGCTAAATGCCTACAGCCCTTACGCAGGCGCCTTTCACCGTGGCGTGGGAGGGGGGGGCGGTGCAGAAGCTGCTGCTGCTGCTCCGTGGGTGTACATCCAGCGGCTAATCCTCAAGAGGCTGCTCCTGAACGAGTTGCTTCCCGCAGTCAAGCGAGACACTCGCGACAAGTTGCTGCGAGCGTCTCAGGAGGCAGTTCTTAAGGCCTGTCAGGAGATGCTGCACTGGAAGCTGTGCATGCAGCCTCTACGTCCGACGCAGGAGCAGCAGCAGCGGCGCCAGCAGGAGCTTGTTCAGGATGACACCACCGACAGCAGCAGCAGCAGCGACAGCAGCAGCAGCAGCAGCGACTCAGACTCCCCCAGTATGCCCGTTGCTGCAGCGGCACCCCCCGAAAAAAGGAGGCGGAGACAGCAGCGGAGACAGCGGCAGCAGCAGCGACAGCAGCGCTTGACTCACGATCCGGCTGCAATAGACTGTCTCTCTTTCGTGATTCAGCACAGACCGATTGAGGGAGGGCGTGGTGAGACTCTCGCAAGGACGCATGCGGTCCTAGTCAACGCTTGGGGGGAGATCGAAACGCATGAGTGCTTCGATGTGCTGCTGAATACTCGGCTTCCAGACGAGCAGCAGCAACAGCAACAGCTGCAACAGCTGCAGCAGCAGCGCCAGACAGGAGTCCTCTCCCAGCACGCCGCTGCCGCTGCACTCGATCCTGCAGCAGCCTCACAGCAGCAGCAGCAGCAGGGGATCTCGCGGGAGGAGCAGCTTGCGCAGCGAGATTTGCAACGCTTAGTTCGCCTCTTTACCGACAGATTCGTGGATGTGGCAGCGGTGGGAGTGCGCGATCGTTATGGACTGCTCTTGCAGCAGATCCTGAAGCAGCATGTTCTGCCTAAACTGGAAGAACGTCATCGTCCCTTCGCGCTCGTTCTCGCCCCTCTGGAAATCCCCGCAGTTTGGGCTGGTAGTGATCGTGTGCCAGAGACTCTCAGACGTAGCATGGCGAGGGAAGCACTCATGGTGAGGGACGCTCTTTTAGTCTTGCGGATGTTTCTTTGTTTCGCGTTTAACTGGGTACTCGACAGTGCATTTCCTAATCTGCTCTAACAGGTGTTTCTAACTCCCTTTTTGGATGCGCTTTTTGGCCCCTTTTCTTGCGGCTTTTTTGTTCGTGCGGTCTGTGCGTTTGTGTGTTTGTGTGTGTTTGTGTGTCGTGTGTTTTGTGTGTGTGTGCGTGTATGTTTCGTGTGCTTGTGTGTGTATGTTTCGTGTGTTTGTGTGTGTATGTTTCGTGTGTGTATGTTTTGTGTGTTTGTGTGTGTATGTTTCGTGTTTGTATGTCTCGTGTGTGTATGTTTCGTGTGTGTATGTTTCGTGTGTTTGTGTTTATGTTTCGTGTGTTTGTGTGTGTATGTTTCGTGTGTTTGTGTGTCTTGCGGCATTCTGAACAACCTCTCCTGGAGCTTCTGTGGTATAGCGGCGAATCACCGTCATTGTAAGTGGCAAACATGGGGTGACTCTGTGCGCGCACAGGCCCTTTCTCTTGGCCGCTACATCCAAGACCCCTTGGCAGAAGCCGCAACGCTTTGGGGTGAAGGCACCGACAACTTGCTTCTCCAGCTCAAGCTGCACCCCCTCCAAGCGGCGGTAAGTCTATTAGTGCTCACGCCAGCTGGAAAATGTACCCCGGCTCTGGCAACTGTCTGTGCAAGCAGCTGCTGCAACTGCTTGCTGCAGTTGCTTCCTGCAACTGCTTGCTGCAGTTGCTTCCTGCAACTGCTTGCTGCAGTTGCTTCCTGCAACTGCTTGCTGCAGTTGCTTCCTGCAACTGCTTGCTGCAGTTGCTTCCTGCAACTGCTTGCTGCAGTTGC